CGGACAGATATTTATCCAGTGGATAGTGTTATAGGAACCTTTTAAGTGACTGGAGACTGGAGTCAATATGGAGGGCAGGAACCATAAAGTATTGTTCTAACTTGTGAGTCTGTGGATGAAATCCTATTCATGTACCCCTCAAAACGTTGCATATCCCGCATTGGGATGGCTGGCATGACTGGAATGTTTGTAATACTAAGCAGAAATAGGAAATAATGGTTACTGTATGCAAAATTTTGGGGGTAAATGAGGTGTATTGTGGGCAATGTGAGAATCGTGAGTTTCAGAAGGATTTACATAAAGTCATCAAAGCATAACGGTATTTATATCTCACCACCCTGACATGCTCATTTTGAGCAAGTGGACAATTTTTATCTTGTCTCTCTGAATATTCAAACATGTCCTGTAATTTCACATCTTTTTTTTTTTTGGTGACGTTGTCACTTCTCTTCTGTATTATTTCAAACACTGCTGTATGCCACCACTGTATGATCCGCGTGCTCCCACACGTAATTTGAATTTGCAGAGGGTTTTTTCGTCTCCAAAAGTAAAGTGCACACGTTATCCTTGATGCCGACACGCGAGCGAACAGTGTTGAACTATTAATGAAATTAAACTGGCTTCCACTTTACCTCCAGGTGAAAGTGAACATTTGTATTCAAGTAAACGTATTATGGACATAGCCCAGGAAACATGAATGATGCTCTGGTACTAAATTCGGATGTACTAATAATTGGAATAGTCGAAATAGCTCCTTCCACTTAGTCTGCCCTCGCTTCAAGCTTGAAACCAAAGGGGGGTGGGGAAGGGGGGCATATACACTTAGTGTGAGGGTAGCAAGATCTTATGGAATACAATACCAAATTCCAAAGACGAATGAACGTGTACATAGTTTTAAAAAGGCCTTAATTAACTTTTATGCGTACCTTCTTAAGTTTCTTTGTCCTAACTTTTATCTTTAAATGAAGTTGATACATACATACACATACATTCATTTGATTGAAGAGCATTGACTATAAATAACTTCAGGAGTTCAGGTTTCAGGAGTTATCATCGTTTATTTAGACAGTGCTGTTTTGTATGGTCTGGAGTTATAGGACCACAACTTTAGAGTAACGCAAGTAAGACACAATGCATCTGTTACCTAGTAGACACAATCTCCGGAATGTAATGCATCCCCATAGCAACAATCCAAATTTTACAGCCAGCTTTTAATTTTAACGGTCAATCGTTGAAGACGCCTGATGAGTGTGGTCCTATAATTTCGGACAATATGAAACAGCACTGTCGCAACAAACGATGATTACTCCTGAAGCCTGAACTCCTGACGTCATGTACTCACACACACACAACACCTACACATTGGGTATACCTACTGGATCGACATGGCCGAAGAAATTAAATGGTCTTTTAGGTCCCGGATCTGGATTGAGGTCTATTCCATTGAATGCATAGGAACCATACTCAGTTCGGTAAACAAACTGATATGGCTTTGAACCTGCATGGCCCTTTGGACCACTTGAAGAATAGTCTCTAAAAAAGGAAAGAATTTCTCCCTCAATAAATATTATTATTCTTAACTGCATTCTATGCACTGTCTTACTAAAATGCATTTGATTGATTTTTTTGTACATGATTTTCCATATACCATATTTCTTCTTGTAACAGATCCCTGAACTACACAGCTTTTCATATCATCATCATCATCATCATCATCATCATCATAGTCATCATTATTATCCTCATTGTCTTCATCATCATCATCATCACCATTATTATCATCATCATTATTATTACTTTTTATTTTTATTTGTTACTGATTATTGGACATTTTACTGCGCTTTTCACAAACATGCGAACTCTAAAGTTCAAAAGCCGCCTTCACAATTGCGTTTTTCACTGCCGTCAATCATAATTACGATCACAAGCAACGAACCTTGAAACACAAACACACACAAAATGGATCGAAACCCACCAATCACAAATCACAAACCTTGACCTTTTGAACCCGTTAAAGTAAAGTTTTGTTTCCTAGGAGGTCCGTTAAGATGATTGACAGCCGCGAAAAACGCAATCGTCAGTTGGCTTTTGAACTTCAAAATTCGCATGTTTGTGAAAAGTGCAGTAATATAGGTAAGCAGAATTTTAGGAATCAGCTTGGGAAATTATAAATGCTGACTCTTCGTACTCACTTGAACATATTTTCAGCACTTGTGATTGAAGGAACACTGAATGCATCTGATAGTAAATATAAAGACAATAAACAATACATAAAAAAAAAAACATTAGCAAACACAATACATGAAACAATAACAAAATGTAGACACATGCAATGACACATCCCAATCATGTCATACATCTGAAGCCAGATGAGTGATCTTACTAAACCTATGAAGACAGCATGTGACAACAATTATTAGTGCCAAATAGTTACAGGTAAACATAAGAAAACTATGTAATTAGAGTGGAATACTGCATATTTGTCTAATATTCATTTTACAAGCACAATCACTCTTAGAAATTTTCTAATTTAGGCAGCTCAGTAGACTTGTAACCATATTACTGTTTCAGTCAGACACAACAAGACTTCTACAGAGTAATGAGTTTATGGCTACTGGTCAATTAATGATCAAATTAAAACAGAAATCATAAAAGCTCAATGTTTACCCAGTAGCTATGTGGCCACCAAGTTTAAACTCTGTTATTAGTATAAGTTTTACTAACCATGGTTTCCTCTTAGGTCTAACCATTTCGTTTTCTCCTGGACTTTTGTTTCTTTCAAGATACTGTTATATTCTTGCCATTCTTCTAAATACTGCTCAGAACCACGTTTAGATTCATCCTTTGCATCTGTCAAATCACCTTTTAAAGGACAAAAAAAGGTTAAAACATGTGATTTTCATGACTTCCATAATATGAGATGCGATTGAAAGGGAAAAGGCTGGACATTTTAAATGACAGCTTTAATAAGTAAAAATGCATAAAACAATTTGTATCATAGCAGAGCTCCACGCACATGTGAGCAGATCCTCATATCTAAGAAAAATTGGTAATCTATCCATCCAAGAAATTTTGGTAATCACATGACTGTACATCCATCTAGATATATCTGTCTGTCTGTCTGCATCACAGGGAAACCAATGTAAAATGTCAAACTTCCTAGCTAGTACCGGAGCCTGTACCTGACTTGATAATTAATAGACATCCACATTATGGTCAATTAATAGCTGTCAAAACAGGGTATCCACTGACCATTGTCACATGACCACATTGCTGGCCCAGGTGCCATCTCATTGAGGTCATGTGTTTTTTGAAGTTTTCTGCTAACCAGTCGTTAGCTTTTCATTGATCGCAGTTTCAAGTTTATGTTTTTCAGTAATATGGTTCTCCCCTAAAGTTATTAGTATAGATTTCTTTGCAATCGTTTAAAGTCCATTGTCTGAAGTTTATTTAAAATGCATTCAGGAGCTTTGCTTTTAGCTCTGACTAAATTTACATGTCCAACCAAGCTCTCACTATCTCACTAGCCAAAGGGATGGGTAAACTTGGAGATAATTATATAGCTGTCAGAGACATTCAAACACACCCACAACCATTATTTTAATCAAGGTGAGGACTCTGGCAGCATTTTGACTGCACTCCAAACACAAGAGTGACAACTATAATGGACCAACATGAGAAAGTGTATTTTATTCAATCAAATTACATGTTAACAAAAAAACTACATTGTTACACTGTATTTCCTTACCTGTAGCCAAGACTGCAATGGGCCTGATTACATCTATATTTTCATTACAAAACTGCTTGAGATCTTTACCTCTTTGAGGCTCACGGTATTTGCTGATGTGAATATCTGATACCTTATGAATTAAAATAATAAACTTAGAACAATAACATAATAATTTTATTAGGAAACATACCATTTGTCATGGATTTTAAGAAAACGCAACTAGTAATACTGTTATAAAGTAATAATTTTATTGTAATGTATTTCAAAGGTTGTACCATACAAAAGTAATACAATAATCAATAGAGTAAATTCACTTAACTTAAAAATTCTTCTTGTGTGGTCCTCATAGCCCGAAAGCAAAATCTTGCATTTGCCACACAGAAGTTACCCTGTGCCTTAATGTCAAAATTAATAACTTATGTGTTCACGGAATAAAGAAACTTGCAGATTGACAACAAGACGACTAAATAGGGTAGTATGGAGAATTTCCTAAATAAGTTAATTAATCCAACTGTAAGAACATATGGATTTAAAAAAAAAAGTTCCCCGCCTCAAAAACCCTACGCATTCGGACTAAACAACAACCCTATATGCTCGGAATAAAAAGACACTATATCAACAAAAGAAGAGCGCAGATGTTAAATGAAAACCTTTTTTTGAGAAAAACACCGGCCCGGAAAGAATCACATGATGCGTGTGCATTTCGTTCTTACCTGCACGAACCAAAAAATATTTTCCATTTTGTCGCTCGGAAATGGAGCCGCATTTGCCCTCGAGTGAGGCTTGAGTGACTTGCCATGTCCGGTGTAATAATCTAGTAAAACAACAATAAACCAAGACGAAGCTAAAATGATTACAAGAAGGATCAGTGAGAGAAGACCTTTCAAGCCGACCGCCATGATGTAATTAGAACCTCGCTCGCACGGAGGGAAAGTATCCGGTTTAAGAGTCCGGAAATGACGTGTCAAACAAAAGTCCGGTCGATGACCGCCAAGGTTAACCAAGGTTTCTTAGATTAGATCCACGTTGATGAAAAAGAAGTAAATGATTATCTCAAGAGCTAAAAGTGGAAAAATGTTTATTAATTTATCTTCTTTTGAGGGCAACACAATGTATGGTATAAAACAAGCATTCTACATGACCAGGATTTCGTCATCTGAGCCGGTATGCAACCGCTGAGAATGGAGGGTAATTTGAACGGACAAAACAGACGTGGCAGCTTGGGGTTGCATGTGTTGTTTGGAAGTCTAAGAAAATAATTAGCACAATAATGGCCAGTTTCGGTGTAAAACGCTCTCCTACGGCTGCCTCCGTTATAGCAGAGAACCAAGATGTAGATGTTAGTGTTGTTTGTACTGTTTTAAAGCTGCTAGATAAAGACAACACAGTCCCTTTTATCGCTCGCTATCGCAAAGAACAAACTGGAGGTTTGGATCCTACAGTCTTACGGAACATTCAGACCCAGTACGAGCAGCTAAAGTAAGTTCAAAAAGAAAAAGAAAAGGGTGGGGGGGGGGGGGGGGGGAAGCCGAGGGGGTAACTAGCTGATTAAAGTTACGTTCGTAACGGGAAAATGGGGGTCAGCAAATATCTGTGGTTCGGTCGGAGATCACTGCATAGTAATACAGTGGAAGAAGCCAAGAAAATGAATGAGATATTATATAAACAATTGGTCCAAGTCTCAGGTCTTTTTGGCCCACAGTTCTGAGTTATTTGGTGAAACGTTTCACGCACCTTTCAGCTTTGTAGAGCTTTATAAGGAGACGCCATATTGGTGCAACAATAAACAAAAACATCTGGAGTTCACTTTTCCTATAAAAGCTCTTTCTTTTCACTCAAGAACTAGCATAAGTACGCATAAACACATCGTCTAATACTTGAAGTGGTTTTACTGCTGAAAATCAAGAGGAGATACTTTTTTTTCAACGAGACAGCATTCCTATGCTGGTGTCACGCGCTGTGAAAACTCGGAAGTTCAAATTGCTGTATTTTCGAAATGAAACATGCCACGGAACTAGAAACTTGTACAAAGATTTATTCTTTGTTTATCTTCAACCTAGTGTAAATAATAATACGTAAAACCTCGCTATTTTGACGTTACAATTTGATGACGTCACAGTGAAAACCATCTATAGTGTTGACAATGATGATGATGATGATGATGATGATGATGATGATGGTGATGATGATGACGGCGACGAGGGAGAGTACGATGACAATGATGACAATCCCTCTGTGGGAATTGATGGCAATTCAGAGCGAGACTGGTTCATCATCCTATGTAAGGGGATCTCCGACAGTCTTGGATTCTGGATTCCACGTTGAGGATTCTGGATTCCAGGTACTGGATTCCAGTATTTTTCTGTAGAACTTGGATTCTGAATTACAAAATTTTTGTTAGTGGGATTCCAGATTCCTTAAGCTGTATTCCAGATTCCACAAGCAAAAATTTCCTGGATTCCGGAATCCGAATTCCCTTACATGGGGCGAGATACACTATATAATAGCTGTCATTAGTTCACACCGTAATGTCTATAACGATGGAGAGCCACTGTTGAGATTTCCTTGTCTAGTAGTTGCCTAGAGATAGAGGATGTCTGTTAGCGTGGGTTTGATTATTAATATTGGCAGATCAATCCAAGATCGGGCAGCCTCAGTTGCCAAGAAGATAGGAGAGAAGCTTACTCCAGAAATTAAGAACTGTCTTAACAATGCTCTCACAATGGAAGAAGTTGAAGAAGTGGTAAGGCTTTTTTTATTGATTGTCTTGTTAATATAAATATGGAATAAGCTTTAATTGGTGGATTTTTTTATTTATAACTCAATGTGAATTGGCTGTAGGTGAATGATTATTTTCTGCCTTTCATTGGATAAAATACTGTAAAATCAATAATTTCTCTCCCGTCAGGTGAGCTTGTGCTTTGATATACAGTGTATGAACTTTCTTCAGTTATTTTCTTCTGATTATGCAACCTAATCAAAGCAAATGCGTGAAGAAAAGATTTCTTGATATTTAAAGGTGGAATTAACAAGTCCAAATTGGGTCAAAGTAAATATTGGTTTATTTATTTATTTATTGTATTTTATTTTTTACTCAGTATTTATCCAGGGACATTCAATTGAGCAGAACTAGTTAAATGGAGCCCTGACACAACACAAAAACAAATAAGTTACAAAGGCAACATGTACCACAGGTGTTACCTTTTAAAATGGTGCTTTAGCTTGATTTTATATTTGCTGAGCGTCTCTACTTGTCTAATGATTCTCAGTAGGGATTTATGGATGGTTTACTCCAGTTATTATACCAAAAAAAAAAAGAGGCCAGGTCAACCATAAAGATAAAGATTTTATCCCTGGTTTAAATTTTATTTTCTTTTGTTTAATTGGCCTGTTTGTAATTGGTAAGAAGTTTGAAACAAAGGAAAGAAAATTTAAACCTGCAGGATAAAATTAAACCGCAACATATACATCGTAGTACTTAAAATTTGTAACTTGTAAAGAATTGTATAGTTTGAACTGTGGGATGACTGTGAAGAAGTAAATGCAGGGAAAAATTCAGGCTTGCTGGGATTTGAACTCACTTGACCAGTCGGCAAGCATGCCAAATAGGAGCTGATCATAACCAATTTTTCATATTTAGGTTTTTTTTTGTCACAACTCGATAAGTTGCATATTTAACTGTAATGTTTTTCTCAGCATTTATGTATTACACTTCTATTATTTTCCATTGAATAGTATGCACCTTTCAAGAAAGGCAGTAAAGGATCTCATGCTGATAGAGCAAGACAGCTGGGGCTTGGTCAACCTGCTGAATGCTTGTTAAAAGATCCAAAAAGTGTTCAACTGGAAACATTGGTCAAACCAAAGACAGAAGGTCAGTCATGTCATGCAAAGAACAACCTAAATTATCTGTGGTATAATGACAAGATATTATCAACCATAGTATGTGGTTAAATGTAATTTAGGCAAAGTTAAAACACAAGATAATGCCTTGTACTCCATCACTAATATTATTGGATAGTGGTGGTCTTGGGCATTTGCAGGGCTAGTATTAATTTACAGGGCTTTCCTTGAGGTAACAAATATTTGCTCATGTTGCCTTTGCATGCCATAGCTTTAGCCATTTTTGCTCCCTGCCCTCCTTTTCCTCTGGATGTCCTTCAAAGGGCATATATCTGCAGATTTTTCCATTAATTTGAGTTTCTCACTTGTGATGGTGTCTGGTGGTTGCTGCTCACATGGTCGTCATGGTTACCCTCTGGGCTGCCTTGCAGCTCCCTTCGGTTTGACCAGGCACCTTCCTCACACCCTGATTGTTTGTTGATGGGTTCAATATAGACAGAGGAGTGCAACTCTGGTGTAAATAAGAGGCAAGTGAAAGACTGCCAAAATATGTGCGCTACATGTATAATGAGTTATTGTGATATTGAGCTTGTATCAGTCTATATACAGTCATTTTTCTGGTATGTTTTTTTTTGTTTTGCAGTTGCCTTCAGTGTGCATCTCTTAGGGAGCTTTCAATATATCACTAAAACTCTAATCAGCTAGATTAACATACATTGTATTCTTAGGAAGCTTTCAATATATCACTAAACCTCTAATCAACTAGATTAAGATGCGGTGTATATATGTTACATAGTTATTTTATTTTTTATTTTTATTTTTTTTATATCAGGCAGTTTTTGTTTTTCTCTTGTTTTTGGGTATGGTAATGTGTGCTAATAAAGTTGAAACAAAAGAAACATAAAAATTACCTGAGATAAAACTACAATATGACTGTACAGTGTTTATCACTTCTGCATGTAGTTTGTTGTCTCTATTTTGTTAAACAAACAAACACGCAAAACCAACAAAACAAAATCAGACTAACAAAAAATGCAGAATTTGAACTTACAGTATGTACGTGTACATGTACGTATTCAATATATGCGGGCTTACATACTTGCAGGTGTGAAGAATATCAAGCAGGTGTCACTGGGAATACAACACATTTTGGCTGATGTCATTGCTAAGAACAGTGACACAATGAGCTCAATTAAAAAGATGTAAGTGCTTTTGTTTATTCTCAGTTGTTTCTACAGTTGAACCTCCATGTGTGACCACCTTTCGTAAGCGACCGCCTACACAAAACACCAAAACTTTCCCAGTCAAAGTCTCACAGCTGGAACCTCTAGAAAATGACCACCTCCTTTAAGCAACCGCAATCACTCTTTGGGCCTGAAAGTTTAATTATTTTCTATCATTTTTAACCTCTTGTAAGTGACCACTTGACATTCTCTGATCTCTATGTTTGCTCCCTCCCATTAGTGACCACTAAGTCATTGCATTTGGGATGGCCGCTTATGGGAGGTTCGACTGTACTTCAATCATGTTGCCTAACATAGGCTAACCCCACCCACAATGACATGTTCCATTCATTCAGTCATTTCAGAAGTGGACTTTATATATGTTTAACACAGCAGTATTTGATTGCTTTGGGAAATAATAAGTCACCAAAAAGGGAGAATCATGTTTTGTACCCGAGGGACACCCCCACTGTACCCATATTCGGACAAAAAGTTGTGCTCCTTCCCTCTCAGTGTTGATTATTTTTCTTCTGACATGCCAACTGTCCCAACTATAAATGTTACTAGTATTGTAGGTTGGTTCTCAATTTCCGGTGTCTCCTAGGGAATGAATTTAATTTTGACCTATAACTTATCCAAAATAACCATAAGTCAGAAGAACTTGGAACTAAGGATGAAAGATACGACGCATACTGCTTGGTTAAACTGGGTGCTGTTAGAATCTGAAATCTGGGGCACAAAAAACATAGCATAGATACTGTAAGTTTATGAATTGTTATGCTTTTTTTCCCCAAAATACAGCACGGTCAGTTCATGCGATTTTTTTTTTCGAAATAAAACTGTTCCCATATCAACCCTATAAATCGTTTCATTGCACAATAATGCCAGTTGTGGCAGCTTTTAATAAGTGCCCGCATATGATATAGGGTGACTCTGGGATGCCTGTGTGTCAAGGAGGTCTAGGAGTTATTTTAAAAAATGCATCACATTTACCAGCTTGGCTTACAAAATATGCATGTACCCGTATAATGTGAAAGCCGTATTAATTTATAGTGTGTAATTTTCTTCAGGTTGAAAAAACAACCCCTTCAACTTGAGTCAAGTTTGTCTCGTTCAGCCGCGAAAGAAAAGAAGGAAGGTGGAGGAGACAAGAGATATGAGCAGTATCATGGCTTCAAACTATCAGTTTCTTCTGTCAGAGCTCATCAAGTAAGTATTCATTTATTCAACTGATGGCCCCGTTCACACATATCCGGACGTTTTTAAAACAGCCTTCCGTCTGTACGCAAGTTTAAACGTGTGGACAGACGAAAGAGCGTAGGTTTGATTTCCGAATACGATGATGTCATCCGTATTATGCCACTAGCATTATGCACACACTGTAAAGGTTGATTTCCACTGTCGCTTAATTTTCACGTTCGTATGCACATAAATTTTACGCGCGGCCTTTCACACATTACCTCTATTTTACTTACACGCGTCAAAATTTTTGTGCGTATACACGTGACAATTAAGCGACAATGGAAATCCACCTTATTGGTTGATTTCCATTGCATAATTTACACGTTCATATGCACGTAATTTTTACGCGCGGCCTTTCACACTTCACCGCCATTTTAAATACTTACACGCATAAAATTTTGTGCGTATCTACGTGAAAATTTATAATACGCCACAGTAGAAATCCACCCTATGTGTAGATTTCCACTGTCGCGTAATTTTCACTTTCGTTTGCACGTAAATTTGACGCGCGTCCTTTCACATAGCACCTCTATTTTACTTACGCGCGAATAATTTTTGTGCGTATACACGTGAAAATTACGCGACAATGGCAATCCACCCCATGTGTTGATTTCCAGTGTTGCGTAATTTTTACGTGCGTAAAATTTACGCTCGCAAATATAATAGAGGCAAAGCACGAAAGGTCGCTCGTAAAGCGTAAAAGTTGAACCTCGCTCAACTTCTCGTTTAAGCTCAGCACTTTTTATCTTGCCTCTATTTTATTTACCTGATAAAAATTTACGCGCGTTAACGTGCGTAGCCACAAACCCCTTAGTGGAAATCAACCTTAAGGGACGCAGCTATCGTATTCCCATCATTTTCATGTGAATGGTCAAAAATCGATTAAATACGCTTCGTGCGGACGCGTAGTTTTTTGAAAACGGAAAGGATTTTTCCACAGCTTAAAAAGTTAGAACCACCTTTCAAACAATGTCCCTGCCATCCCTTAAAGCAGCCCACACCAGGGCTGGGCAGAGCGGGGAAGAAGGCTTCTCAACAAAGTTTTATACGGAGAGGTTAGAGGCTCCGCCCCGAGGTCCAAGCCCACATCCTTTTCTTCGTGTTACACATCCGCTTACATTTCTTAACACCACTTGAAAATTACAACTGAAATCGTTTGACAGCAGCCATGGTGATGTTAGAAATTTATTGTTTTCAATATCTAGGCAATTGAACATGTTTTTAACTTAATATGTTTTTTTTTCCAAGGTGCTTGCTCTAAACAGGGGAGAACAGAACAAGGTCCTTACTGTCAAGCTAACCATTCCCAAGAACGTAGAAAAGCAGTTCCTCGTTCGTCTTCGTAAAACATGGGTGCCCTGTGACGCGCCAGGTACATCGTGTATGCTTACATTCTTTGAAAAAGCAGTGAAGTACATGTGCATTGTCTTCACTCTCATAGCAAAAGAAAAGTAAATAAATATTAAATGAATAGCTCTCAACCAATGAGTACGCGAGAAATTACTTGCTATAAAGAGACTATAAGTACAGTAATAAAGATTCGTCTGTCGTTGGAGCCTCTTGTAGATGGCCAACCTCGTTGTTTTTTCTTGTGGAAGGGAGGGGGGGGGGTATTTGCGGTAGCTTTGACTTTGTATAGCTATTTTAACTACATTGTACAGGGGGTAACGTAGTGGGATTTAAGGGCCTCAAACGTACTGTACGTAAAGTAGTGTGGGTAGGTCGTGCCTACTTTGTTATTCGTTTACAACATGTTTTTGTTTGTCATTGCCATATAATGGTGTAAATCGTAACAGAAGTTTACGTCAGTGATTTTTTGACTGAGTTACTCAGTGGCTGAGTTTATTAATTATTTAGTTATGTTTTCTGGAATTCCCTATTTTGCTATGCTTTCTGGTATCGTAGGTTTTTCGACTACGTTTATTGAAATAGCTAAGCGTAGATGTATGTCAGCATACAATGCATATTTTTTTTTTGGCTCTGCGGCTTTTAAGTTATATCTCATTAGACCTTCCTCTGTTGCAGGAAACATCAAAAAGTTATTTAACGCCGCAGTGGACGATGCTTATAACAGACTTATTAAACCCAAAGTCACCAGACAATCCAGGTAATTTGACTTTTAACATCATGCGCTGAGGTCGTACATGACATGGTTGCAGAGGACTTCCTTGACAAGGTTATAGTATAATCGACTTCAAGGCATTTATCTCCAAAATTCACTGTACCCTTTCGGCCAAGTTGAAACTAAAGCACCGTGCAAGTAAAGCTAATAATTCAAATCTGCGTGGAGTTCTAGTTAACAGGGTTTTTTTTTCTTTATTAAAAGATGACGAAGTGTTGATTTTGTGATATTAGCTACAGATGACCAGGGCACAAGAGAAACTGAGTCGTCATTTATTATTGCTTTTCTTGCTCCAATTATTTTAGGACGTCGTTAACCAAACAGGCAGAAAAGGAAAGTGTTGATCTATTTATGATGAACCTTTATCGTCTTCTCCTCACCCCTCCTGTCAGGGGAATGAGCGTGCTTGGGCTCGACCCAGGCTTCTCTCATGGATGTAAATTAGCAGTGCTGAGCACCACTGGTGAGTTCAGTAATGCATGTTCAATGGCGCCTTAATTTTACAATTGTGTCGTTGGCTAATTTGCTTATTTCATTTCCTGATTTCATTTCATATTAATGTGCCAACTAAAAGCGCATTTGTTCTTGAAACAAAAGATTCCTTTGTTTCACTCGCGTTATGACTTTGAATAACAAGAACAAAGTTTATCTAAACAGTGATGTCTTCTTGTTTAGGGAGTAGAGAGTTCAACTGAGATTTGTGCTCAATGATAGCTTTTACGCCCAGTGTTACGATTTTGTAGCTGGCCTCAGGGGTCTGTTATACAGCTGCTGTTGGGAACAGTTAGCAAGCGAGAGAGTAATAAGGGGGTATAGTGGGGAAGAGAAAACTTCCCCCTCACTAGACCACTGCATGCCCCCCTCCCCCGGTTAGGCAAGCGAGAGGGGGCAAGCGAGAGGGGTAAAGGGGGAAGAGAGAACTTCCCCCTCACTAGACCACTGCAACCCCCCACCCTGACCACTGCATGCCCCCTCAGGGAACTTTTCACTGGGTCGGTTCAGTAGAAAGTGGAAGTAAAGAGTATTTTTCCTGCATGTTGTAATGAGAGGGAACACTGTGCAAACTACATGTACCTTCCTTTTTTTACAATTTTGTTCATGCATTTAATGTTTAGCTCTTTGGATAACTAAAATTGAATCTTGGATTACAATTCTAGTGGGTTCATTGTACTATAGGTGAAGTTCTGGAGACAAGGGTAATCTTTCCATTTGGAAAGAAGGCAAAAACTGAACAAGCAAAGAGCACAGTGGTTGACCTCGTTAAAAAATACAGGTGAATACGAACAGGAAGTTGAACAGTGATGGTTGATGGGGGAAAACAGCAATCTATCAGCACTTCTCAAAAACTGTCATGTACACTAAATAAAACAAGAGACAAAGTAAGAAGTTCTGAATGTATTTTTAGTGCTATTCTTGACCGTTAAATGAGCCTCCATACAAACCGTTGTAATATTTCTGTTGCGCAACAACGATCCTCACTCCTGAGCCCGCGGTACCTGTGATGTACTTAGAAACAAAGAATGATTCCGGGACTTCCTGATTACCAACCTCGTCGCTAGGGTCTTCTCGTTTTCCAATAATAACAGCGGCCGCCATACTGGAAACAAGAAGACCCTGGCGACGGAAGTGAACAAGTAGGAGCAAGGACTGAAATCCACTAAAACGGAAGTAAATATCCAGGAGTGAGGACTGGGATTTAGTTCACCAAAACCACTCGGCCAACCGCTCCGGTGCGATGTTCGTTGTTGTGAAAGACTTGTTCCAGATCTGTGCCATTACTGTTTCCACGATACCGGATGGCTTTTCGTTTCGGCACGAAGAACTACCCGGTACCGCGTAAACTTAGCTTTAAGTTACTGCACCTAGCTATCTTCAAAGTTACTTTAAGTTACGCAAATTTCGCATTCTTAACTATAACACAAGAAACGGTAAAAAATTAATTTTGGAAAAAGTAAATCTTACATGTAAGTGCACGCACGCAGCAATCATTCTTTTACAAAGGAGCAAGGATTTTTAATAATTTTGATGTCTTAATTCGTATTTATATTATATAAATAATTTTTAGCATAAACTTTAACTTTTCTAATTTGTATAGTATTATTGTCAGTCTTTTTTTTTTTTCTTTTTTTCCTTTTAGTTTTTTTAGCTAGATTTTAATTAGCAGAGCCCGCATAGATAGCAGTTTTTCTAAACTGACGTAGTCATCCTGGGTAAACATGTTCTTTATAATTACCACACAATATTGTTTCATTGCAGATGCGATTATGTTGCCATCGGTAACGGCGTAGGATGTCGCGATGCAGAAACATTTATCAGTGAGCTCATCAAACAGCGTGCATTTGCACCTCAAGATATCGCTTATTGGTAATAATAATTCAATATTATTAAACTTGCTTTGAAGCGAACAATTTCCTATTAATGCAATTACCCGTGGTGAAAGTGCATTTATATCATACAACTGGTGGTTTGTTTTTTTGTTTGTTTTAATTATTGTTGTTGTTGTTTTTTTGTTTTTTTTTGTATGCACTTTTCCATGTCCTCTTATTCGGGAAATGGAAGGAAGAGAACTCTATGGGATTTTGACATACTCCAGCGATTTCAGTCATTTCTCCTTGCCATTTAGCGGTGGCAGATTTTCAAAGGACAATTGTAATAGCCTACATAAGAGGCGTCGAAAGGAAGGGAGTGATCAGCATGTCACGAGCACGGGACGATGAAAAAAAATCTGAGTCCCCGAGAGGAATTGAAACTATGACCTTCCGTCCACCGGTCGGATGCTCTCTAACCACTGAAGTACGAAGGACTCGTGGCGAATGGGCCATATACAAGATTCATGTATGATATGCGTCCTGCGTGCTGCTAGGATCAGCAATGTCGAAATCGCCATGTGTGTTATAAAATGAAGAAAGATGGTAAAATTTTAAGCTCGGTGAAGAAATGAGAAATGATGTGATCAACATGTCACGAGCACGGGACGATGAAAAAATCTGAGTACCCGACAGGAACTGAACCTCATTTCTTCACCGACCTTAAATTTTACCATCTCGCCTCCTTTATCAACGACATTTTTTAGGGTAAGCTGTTGTATGTTAGCTGGCTACTTACACGTATTTGCGGCTCCAACTGCCAAAATAACCTCCCAAGAATCTTACTATTTATGTTTCGTTTAGAAGTTTGTTCTTGGCATTCGGTCCTTATTTGACTAACCTAAACTAAACTTGACTAAATATGTATATTTTTTTCGCCAAAAATTGCTGTCAGTTCCTCAGGCCCAAAGTGGCCGTGGACAGTCAGTCCGACCGGCTGAACCATTCAAAGTGGACCATCTTCAAAGCTGGTCGCAAATGTTTTGGTTGGACCGAAACGAAATGGTCCGTTCCATTTGATTTATATCCGGAAAGCGCACTTAGTTCGCTATATCAATCACACTGGTCTTATCCTCGAGCCTGCAGTTGTCTCATTAAGTTCATTTTAAGACAGCGTAATTACTGTCTAACAGGGACGATCAATAAACAATCAGATCGATGCAAGGTTACAACGTGGAATATTACGAAGGTTACAGTTTGGAATTGTCTGTTTTTGTTTCAGTATAGTAAGCGAAGATGGGGCCTCTGTTTACAGTGCCTCTCCTGAAGCAGCTGCTGAGCTTCCAAGCCTTGAAGCAAGTCTCAGAGGAGCTGGTAAGGAGAAAATATATTTACTTCCAGCCTCTTAGTTTTCAAGATAACAAAAACAAATAGACCAAAAGTTCTACGTGTACATTTTAATGAAAGTAAATCTTATCGAAAGGTCAGTATTCAGGGGTAAGTAGTCCAGAGGAGAAAAATGGCAATGCTAAAAATGAATTTTAAAGCTCTTTATGACACTACATGTAACGTTTCAGATTATTTGAATACTGGTTTACACAAAGTTGACTCCTATAAGATCTTCAGTAGCCCCAACTATCAGAGTTCCTACCGTTGAAAACAACACTTTTCACGACCTGGCTGCCTCAGTTTTCAACCACCTACCTGCTGAGGTCAGGAACATAACGGAAGACCTTTTTTATAGATTCGATTTGATCAGAGTTGATTTTGTCATACAGTTACGTACTATTACGTTTTCCTCTTTTATTAATATTGTTATAGAAAATAATGTATAGATTCAGCCAGGGCTAAAAGCGAAGCTGTCTTTTATACATGTATCTATAGTTTACTCAAACGAAATATAAAATCGTGTAATGCTAAGCGGCGACAGCAACGAAAATGGACAAAAAAATCCGCTCTAATTAGCAAAAAACGACTTTGCACGTGCAGCACACTTTTTATGTACATTTCTTTTCCGTTGTTTTGCACGACTTCATCGTGAAACTTTCAAAAACTTCCACTTTTTATGGAGGAAATGTTGAATGTGTTCTTCGTCTTTATTATTTTTTCGCTGCTGCTCATCTTCACCTTGGTGGCCGCTTGAATTATTCTTACCGCCGCTATAAAATGTTAGTGTTTTTCTCTGTTATCAGAGTCAATGTGGACATTAAAATTAAGTCGAAAGAAAGAATCGGCTTCGTTGTTGTTTTTTTTTTATTTCTAGGAGTCCGGCGATTTACCTTCCGAAACGGGCGGGTGCTTGAAATGCAAAATTCCACCCCGGCTTACGTGAAGGGGTATACGTACGTACTGACGCGTACGGACGATTTTCTTAGAACCAAAATTTATTGGATGCATAGATAACCAAATTTTCTTACCCATAGTGCTCCGCTGCGAAGCGCGCGTGAGAGCTCCGCTATAATTTTGTTATTATCATATTATACTTAGTACCTAAAGATGTAGTTTTTTAAGTACTAATTTTAGTTAAACACTAGTTAGAGATGCAGGCGAAGAGCCACATAGTGGATGTATTGTATTAAAGTCATTATTATTATTACTAGAAATACGTTATCGCAAAATCGATTATTATCATCTTCATCATTAACATTATTATTGTCTCTTCTGTCACAGTCTTTGCTGGTTTTCTTTTTGTGCATCAAACGGGCGCAAAACATGCACCTGGAGCATCAGTCACTGAAGTCAATCATTCTGTTCGTACAGTAAGCACCTTCCTGAGGATTGTGCAGATCCCAGCATGCAGATCTTTTGGGTCTCTGTCACAGTAGCTCTCTCTCATACTTTCTCGATTTTTTCTACCATACCCTTCTTTACTGTACCAAGCACACCAACAACCACAGGGATCACTTCGGTTTTTCAGGTGCTACATTCTCTGTATTGCAAGTTCTAGGTGAGAATGAATCTCCTTGAAAGATCCCTCTTTTGATCTTAATCTGATCTGCTGTGATACTTCGATTTCATTTGTTTCTTTATAAGGGTTGTTGGCTTCGTTTACAAACACATCATCTACTACACTATCTGTTTGGTTGTTTTGTACGTTTAATTCACTTTCAATCCTTTGCTTGATATTATCTATTCCAATTTCTGTAAGTTTGTTTTGTTTTTCAATATATCTACGTTGGTTCATTAGTGCGTTGTCTGTTAGATTGGGTCTTTCATTTAGGTTTCTTTCCCTCCATATTCTGTATGTTTCTTTTGCTACTTCTTTACTGGGATCTGCCTTTGTCTTGTAATAGCAGAACATGACTCAATGTAATCCTCTCGTGTCCATTTCTGTCTGGTGTTTCTTCTATCTGTGTTGGTAACTGCCCGTTCTGGTGTAGAAGCGCCCTGTTAGGAGAGACTCTCAGCTGGGTTGGCCTCCGCTGCAAGTTGAGGTTATTACTATTATCATTATCATTATCATTATTATCATTACTATTAGTATCATCATCATCATCATCATCATCATCATCATCATCATCATCATCATTATTATATGAAGTTGTGTTACTTTGTTCAGTCTCTATCGGTAGGAGGTTACAGGATCCTCTTGTGGAGCTTGTAAAAATCGACCCCAAACATTTGGGCATTGGGATGTACCAGGTTAGTTCGATAAGTACTTTTGAGAAGTTTGAAGCTTTGAATTACTTCTCCGTGCCTGGTTTATATCTATAATTCGTTTTTGGATGACGTCCCGTCTTGCATATTAGAGATCTTTAGATTCTGACACGAGGACGACTGCGACAACGAGCTTTGCCCAATACTAAACAGTGCTCGCGCGCCAACCAACGCTGTTTTGGCTGGAAACTGTAGTAGCCGTTGTCATTCTACTACGAGTTTTAGCCAGAATTTAGTGGTGGCGAAAACAAGTTATCAAGTGTTAGAAACTGTTATATTCCTAGACTTTCACTTAACTCAGCAGGAACTCCCATTGGTTGATTCTTGGTCACGTGGCCTTGACTAAAATCAAATGTATCCTGATTGTGATATATTAAGCAATGTACCCCGCTCGGGCTACATTATAGCACGTGATCAAAGCATGGAGGAAAAGGGTGTGACAGAAGGCGGGAAAACACTACCAGTTTTCTTTTTCGTGAATGAACGCAAGAAGCCTCAAGCTAAAAAGCAACGATTTTTAAATCCACCCCAGAAGAGAAACAGCAGCTAGGTGATGAAAAAGATGCAGATGATATAAGGAAAGTACTTTGTAAATCATTCATTCAGTGACTTAATGTGAAGAATTGAATTTGTGTTGTCATAAGTATCGAGTCGACTGTTTTGGTACGCTCCGGTTATTCTTTTGTTGCTGTTGAAGTGAAAGTCCAGAAATATAATAAAACACTTAATGTCAGGTCCCTCTGAAAACCAGTTAGTTTTGTTTTCCCTCGAGTCATGATGTTTCCCAAGACGAAGGACTATCGGGAAAACAAAACTGTTTCCCTCGGGACCTGACATTAAGTGTACATTGTATCATTTAGCGATCGGAAGAGGGCTTAACCTCCTTCAACGGTGTGTGTCTATTTTAAAGAATAGGCGAGGAAACTGAAAATTAAATGTCGCCCTCGTAGTCATTCTCGTCCTCAAATTTAAAGCTCTATATTGGTTTTCCAAAACACTGAAGGCGGCAATTTTGGTGGTCCTGTGTGAGTTGAACCTCCCCCATCTGTAAACGGACTCCCCTAAACCTACAGACGATCAACAACCGGCCAACAGTTGGCCGTCGTTCGACCAACAGCCGGTCAACAGTCGGCCAACAGTTGGCCGAGTTTTTTTTCACAACGCACATCCACCATCTGTTGGCTGACAGTCGACAAAGTGTTGGCAAACTGTCGGTGACCTGCCTATAATTTGCTTCTTTCAAAACTTGTTTAAGCTCGCGTATTCGTACGAAATTCAATAGTCAAATGTACATCTAATTATAAACCCGCCGAATATTGTATTGAAATGAATTTTTTTGACATTTGACCAAATAAAAGAAATAAATGGGATAACAGGGATGGCGCTCAAAACAGCGTAAACTCACTTATATTAAGTGACGTTTTCGCAGACTTCACCGTTCTGGTTGCTTAGGTAACGTTCATACTAATCGGGACATTTTTAAAACCGGATTTTTTTTTTACCCGGATTCGTTTGGATGGAAACTTAACCCCCCGCCCCTCGGGAAAGTGGCTAACTATTTACGTATGTGTACTTATGTTCTCGTGATCTGTTTCAGCATGACATCCCTGAGACTTTGCTGCGAGGCGCGCTGGACGGTGTTGTGGAAGATTGTGTCAGTTTTGTGGGAGTTGACTTAAACATGGCGGGTATTAGCATGTTAAGGTAACTGTCACTAGCCATCGGGCCCAAGTTGTTCAAAAGGTTGATATATCTCTGGCCAGTGGATGATGCAATGGGTTTTCCTATTACTTGTCCCCCGTGTAGTTACTAGAAACCGCTTCCTTCCAGGGCTGGGTTGCTCGAAGCTGGGTTAAGATAACCCAGGGTTAGTGGAGACTTTGAACTCAGATATTATAGCTTAAAATTCAAAATCAGTTTAATTCTTTTTGCCTACAATTTGATGATTGGATACTGTAAAAAGAATACCCGAAAATTATCTGAGACAGTGCTTTTGATAACAAGAAAAAAAAAAGCCGGGTTAAAATTTAACCCCGGGTTAGTGCTAACCGGCGTTCGAACAACTGGGCCCAGGACGAGAAAGAATACGAGTACGAGATTTGACTTACAATTTTTTCACGTATCCTCAAGAAATTTACTTGCCGATGACTCTTGGCACTGTTATCTATATTGAAGGAGGTTAAGCCCTATCCCGATCGCAGAACGATAAAAATTTTACGAAACATTTGATAACTCGTTCCCACCACTACGACATTAGAGCCCATTAGATTTGAGGAAGAGAACGACTAAGATACGAGATTTGACTTTTTTTTTTTTTTTTCGCGTTTTTTTCGGTTTCCAGAAACGATAGGACTGTTTTTTTTTTTAAAGGAGGGTAATCCCGCTCTTAATCGCAAAATGATAAAACTTCCAACATTTGATAACTTGTTTCCACCACTAAAACATTCTCGCTCCCGTAGTAGAATGACGAAGGCTATCATGTTTTCCCGCCAAAAAGACGCTGGTCCACGCGCGTACACTATTTAGTATTGAGACAATTTCGTTCTCGGCGTCGTCCTCGTCTTAGAATGTAAAGGTCTCTATCTTTCTGACGGATAATTGTGATCAACTGAGGCCTAGTCGTGAATTATTGGCCGACAATGAACTGATCTTGGGCACTATAAATTCTCGTGATCAGTTACATATACATTATTTTCCATTTCAGACGCATAGCTGGTTTAAATGAAAAGAAAGCCAAAGCCATTTTAGCTTGGAGAGAAGAACATGGCGCCTTCATCAACCGCGATCAGCTGAAGGAAGTTAAGGGGATTGGGCTCAAGTCGTATGAGCAGTGCGTTGGGTTTGTCAGAATAATCAACGCCTTACGTTTCCATAGCAATACTTCAAAGCCATCTATCAGTGCGCTTAGCAGCACATCTGTAGATAGTGGTCACGAGATTGTTACGGTATTAGATTCTGACGAAGAAGAAAAGCCGACTGTGCGAGGGAAGAAAAGAAAGGGTGATGGCGCAGAGGAAGGAGTAAAAAAGAAAAAGAAAATGAGAAATGGGAAGCAAGAGTTCTGTGCTAATCCGTTGGATATGACGTGGATTCATCCCGAATCTTATCCCGTGGCCGAAAGGTAAATATGGAGATTAAGATACCACGGCTACAAAGAAGGAGGAAAACGTCGCTTGAAATTTGTTTTGCTTACTTTCAAGGCTTCATCGCGATTTTTCCAACTTGCTCTCAAAATCCTTCAGGGCTTTGCTTTCTTGGGGGAATTAGGGTTTTTGTCATTGAAACCTCGCTGGGATTGCCAAACATAAATGTGAACGAAAAAGACAAATAAATTCTGGTATACTTAGTAAAAATACGTCATCGTACTGACGGCCTATTTTGTTCCTCAAAACAGTACCATAATACAATTCGAAATTACATCTACCCAGTCTCTAGTCTGCTACACAGCCGTTTTTAGAGTCGTCACGCAACGCTTCTCCCCACTAACGGCTGCTGAAAACCGAACTACATTCCTTTCCCGTGATTAGCCAATTATAATTCAGCTCCCATTTTCTGGAAGGCGTTCGTGCCACGTTTGCGGTATATCGGTGCCCCATGTGTGAATGACAGAATAATCAAAATCGTCGCGTGAAAACAAGCAATTAACTACATTAGTGTTGTCGTAGTCGAGTCCTATGCAAAAGTTAGGAGATAAGTAGCAGCAGCAAGCAAGTCGAGCAAATTGCGATGCACAACATGGATGTGCTCATAAAGTTGCCAGGTATAGTTTCGGGAAATCGCTCATCGATAATTAATAAGATTGCTTTTTGAATCAGTACCCTTGAGAGTTTAGTCTTCACAGGAACACAATGAGCACATCCGGCACATTAAATTCTTCATTACATATCAGTACATATGCACCTTAAATGAAGAATCAACCGATCCTGGTAAAAGTCTTCTATGCCTACCAAACCTTTTTTTCACTTGAAACTTTCTTGACCGCTTAAAACAAACTTTTTTGCAAATTAACCTTTTCGTTGCTTGAAAACACAGAGCCCGTCTAAATTCAGCGACGATTGATTGATTTGTCGAAAACTGAGAACGTGCTCGCTTCCTAGCGCCCTGCGGCTCACGTATTGTCAAATTTCTTACACATGATTGGCTTGTTCGTTAGACCACAAACACAAAGGGAAAGGAATGTAGTTCGGTTTTCAGCAGCCGTTTGTGGGGAGGAGCGTTGCGTGACGACACTAAAAACGGCTGTGTGGCAGACTACCCAGTCTCACCCATTACGTCAATATGGTAAATATAGACCAGGGCATCCTATATAGCTCTTTGGGGGAGCAAGGATGGCGCAGTGGCGAGAGCACTCGCCTTCCACCCATGTGGCCCGGGTTCGAATCCTGGCGTCGAAACCATATGTGGGTTGAGTTTATTGCTGGTTCTCTCCCTTGCTTCGAGATGTGTTTCTCCGGGTACTCTGGTTTCTCCCTCTCCTTAAAAGAACAATTATTCCAAATTCCAATTCGATCTGGAGCGCACGGGAACATTTCAACGATTGCTTAAGAACTCCTCAGTGCTCCATGGGTAAACAAATTACAATTTACCATAAATAAATAAAAATTGATTTGAAAAAAAGCCCTGTTTAATTTCATAAATACTCTCTGCGAAGTCAGGATCTGACCGTGGTTGTGTTCTTCCATTAAAGTTTGATGCAGTTGCTGGGTATTTTGCCAGAACAGATCGGACAGCCAATGGTGAAAAATGCTATCGACAACTTTCTCCAGTCTCGAAGTAAGTAATGTTTGATTTTTCACTATTACCTTTGTTTCGCAACATTCTTATCCGAGCTGTGATAAGTGTTCAGTCTGTGCAGCAGCTTTTAGCCTGCGAGCAAGTTCTCCGATGAAGGGAAGGATAGCTTGCAACAACGTCTCTGGAATTTGAATATCTGCATCGGAAAGGTCGATGTGAAATGCTCATTGGCGGAGATGACATAAGTAATGACGTCATTACCCTTGGCACGTGTTTTATTCAATATTTGTTTACATTCGCGCTAATTGGCGGAAATCTGACAGCTCAGTCAACGGGGAGCCACAGGGGAACTGGAGGTCGAAATCAAATTCTAGAGACGTAGTTGCAAGCCCTCCTTTCTTTTCCCACTCCGCCGCCAAAGGACCGCGGAGAGCTTGCTCGCAGGCTTAGCAGCTTTCGTAACGTCTCAAATGATTAGCTCTATACCCTTTTGAGAAATAGTCTGAGTAAATAAAAGTAATGATGCCCCCATCTTCCAAGACAATAGCAGCTGCCACACTTCTGCTTGCGCAAAGTCAGAAGTGCTGACTATATCTGTGGGATTTTTGCCGGTGTGTTGTTGTTGTGGTTGTTAATGATGATTTTTCTTTTTTGTTTGTTTGTTTGTTTGTTTTCTGCGAAGGCTGCAACTCCACACGCTTACTTTATCCTTGAATTATAAGTTGTGTCTAACCAACCGATCAGTATTAAAAACGTTTCTTGACAAACACCAACTAAACTTAACATCGCTTGATGAAAAGCGTTTCCTAGTTTTCTGCCTAGTGCTACAAGATGCCTGCGATCAGACAGTCCTTCTTCCCTTTTTTTCTTTGTGGTGCAAGGGCTTGGCGTTTTAGTTGTTCCTATAAAGCATAGATACATGGATATCACTCTGCAGACTTGCTTGTACAATGTAGTAGAAGCTCCTAAAAAATAGCAGCTGCCACACTTCTGCATGCTTACTTTTTGGGGCCGTAGCATGACAGCTTTACCAGTTTTTTGTCGTTGGATTCTTAACACCAACTGAAGTCAACATCGCTTGGTGAAATGCGTTCACCAGTTTTCTGCTACAGGATGCTCTTAGATCCTTACTCACTTGTTCGTGGTTGCCCATAATGTTCTCCAAGTTAGCTAATGTACCTCACTGACTTCTGTATTTTTCATTTTTTTGGTCGCTTGCAGAGATTGAAGAGCTAGCAGGGCGGTTAAATGTTGGCGTTCCTACACTCCACAACATAATTGACGGTCTTAGACAACCAACAGACCACGACATAAGAGTCAGTAAGTAGACCTGTAGTGAAATTGATAAATAAGTCAGCTCAATTTTTGTCTCGTTACCCCTGTTTGTTTGCATTTACTTAGCAAGCCTTTACGAAATTGTTTTAAAGTCCATTCAGCTTTCATGTTTCTGTAATTAGATTTTCAGAAACCCTTATTCAAACGGAACGTGACGTCACTATCAGACCTTCATCCGGGGACGCAGCTGAGTGGCCGCATTACAAACATGACGTCATTTGGTGCGTTTGTGGACTGCGGTGTCGGTAGGGATGGCTTGATACACAACAGTAATATGGGACAATTTAAAGGGAAGGTCGGTCTTGGGGATCTAGTCGAAGTAACTGTCAAGGCCGTGGATTTGGTAAAGCAACACATTCAACTAATTTTAACCCAGATTTCGTCAAGGTTTGATCCGCAGTTGCTTGTCGCAGTGGAGGGATTATCGAAAGCCAGCGCTTGATGGCGTATTAGAATCACTAAGGAGTTTTCTCTGTGGAAACTCAATTGTTCTTCTTAAATATTTGCAAAGAGGTACATCATCTGGAATACTTAGAACGTTAACTATGTTAAAAAAGGTGATGAACTAAAGCTCTACGTTCTGTGGTTCTTAGAGACAGATTTCATTCAGACCACACAGTGATCAGATGAAATTATACATATAAAACAAACAAACTTTAAAACTAGCAGGAAAAAAGGTACAGAAATGAAAAAAGGCACCCGTCATTGATACGATAGTTTAAACTATTTCAACTCCTTTAGGCCAGGGGCTGTGTTACTGCTGTCTAATTCATTTTGCTCATAATGCCAATTGCGCATCCCTATTCGTTATCGAACTTGAAAAATTACTTGTAAATGACAAAATGAAATCTTGTGTCCAACAAATATGTCGTCCAGGTATTGTATCAAACGTTGCAAATGACAAAAATAAACTTTGAAAAACGGTTAGGCTAGAATGAAGTTTTCAAAAAGAACAATAGACCTTTTTACCGACACGGCGGCCATATTGAATTAATTCGATTTAAGGAGTATTATGGGATGCACAAGGGGGCATGAGCATGATTCGATATACTCTCTCAGTATTAGAAATGTGGTCTTTCACTGTATATTTCACGGTGAACAGGCGATCATTGATACATCCAATCCCGGCACAACGATCTTTATTCCCATTAGAATCTTATTCTAAGAAAACTTTAAAAAAAATGCCCAGAAGGGCGCTCGTAAATACTAAACGGAATGTGCTTATGCCCCCTGGGCATCCCATAATACTCCTTAAATCTAACTTATTCAATATGGCCGCCGTATCGGTAAAATGGTCTATTGCAGTCTCTGTCAATCTTCTTCAAGTTTGTCCATCAGGGCGCCATTTGCTGTGGTATTTATGCATTCTTCTCATGTCTGGAGCAGTAATTTATATGTTTTGGTGAGTTTGCTGGCGGTTCTTATTGTTTCAATGTTGTTGAATCTTTTGACTCATCAAAAAACGAGAACAAGAAGGAAGCATGCTGTTTGCTCTTTAAAGAACTGCCTTCAGTGTTTGATATATCAGCCATACGTGGTCCATCTACTGAACAACTTGAAAGTTTTCTAGGATTTTTAAACAATAATTATCGTGTTTCTTGGTACAAAGCTGTACTTTAAAGCCAATTTATAATATAAATTTAAGTTAATGCAAACAACCATGAAAGGGAGGTCAGAGAAATTATATGAGTTATCCTTCTGAAATAAACGGTTTGTCACGCAATATCTTGCCGTGACAAGGTTCACGGTTTGCCCCCTTTGTGACGTTTTATCTCTAGACCAATCACATCGATGCCTTTCCTTTTTGTCAATCAAAGACCATGCGGCCGTACCTTCACATCTGTAGTTCACTTCAAGTTCTCTGACCTCCCAGAGACTGTTTGAGAAATCCCCCACCCCCGACCCTATCAGGCTCTCTCTGGGCCATGTACATAATTATTTAAGTATTACATTTGCTCTTTTGCAACACTAGTCATAGTGCTATGTAGAGGGTTCCTTGCCTATCTTAAATGTTTAAAGCGTTATAGTTATCCAGCCCAGTGCTGTTGGACTTGAGCAGTATGTTTGCTCATTGAGACATTCTTATTATTGTTAGGGTTAATTGTTTGGCTCGCTGTGAGCAGTGCAAGTTTTCTTAGCATAATTTTATCAACTAATTACTGCTATGTCGAGATTCTATATCTTTATTGATACAAAGGCTATAATTATCCAGCCCAGTGCTGTTGGGCTTGAGCGGTATGTTTGCTCATTGAGACATTCTTATAATTTATTGTTACTGTTATTGTTTGGCTCTCTGTGAGCAGCGTAATTTCTAAGTAGAATATTATCAACTGTATTGCTACAGATATAACTGGCACTGTTTCAAGCATAGTGCTGTTTTCGACACTTGGACTATGTTCAATCCTACATATGTAGCATCAGTTAATCCAAACATTTTGTTCTTTGCTTTTAGCTGCAACAGCCTATGACGACTGATCGGTTAGTTCAACAGACTTAGAACAACATTTCTCATTGTTTGTCTTTTTAAGTAAATAAACCGTAGGAAGGGGATGAAGTGCTCCATACAGGTCGTCCGTTTGCCCCATAGACTCACATGGTCAGCTATTGTGGCAAAATGCCCCCCCCCAGACAGCCTTGTTACCATCTAACCTTTCATGTTGTGGTTGGCCCCAGGGGGCCTGGGAATTAGGATCCCAGAGAGAGGATTAGGACCTCTCTGTAGCCTGGGGACTTGGTGGACTCATGGAAAGGAGGGAAAGGATTACCACCTCTCAGGGTCTGGGGATCAGGACCCCACAGAGAGGATTAGGATCTCTCTTCAGCCTGGTTGTTGTGTTGTTGTTGCGTGATAATGTTCTTATTGGGTGAGTCCTCTGGTTCCCAACCACCTGACCTGTGTCATCTTGTAAGATTCCAATTGGCAACTCGAGCACTTCATCCCCTTCCCCCTTTTCTCCCACAGATCTGTTGTTGTTGTCTTGTTTTATATTTTCATGGGTTGGGAGCATTAATTTCTTCTTCTTCAGTTACTGTAGTTATTCGGCAGTAAAACTATAGTTATAAAAGGGTGAGAGATTAACAAGGTTTGTTATTGTAGAGTAAAATTGGAACCGCTAAACTCCAAATATAAAGCAGAAGGCACATCGCGCTAGAAGTCATCTTTATGCTCATGACAGCCCAGGCAATGGAGAGCTTTATATTCGAGCCATCTTTTGGCGAATACCAGTTAGTTAACACCATGGTGACATGAAGAGCGGCAACAAAATACACTAAATGGAAGAAGGAGTAACTATAAGGAACCTTTTCATCTGTTAATTCAAATTGTGCAAGATGGCTAGTTTCATCTGTTGCTACGTAAGTGTTCTTCTCCCCATCAGCGTTCGAATCTTTGCCGTCTTTCACTTTGCGACGGCGAAGTCCAACGATCAACCTAACTGTCGTTGTTCCTAGCTTCCGTAGCGTGTCCGTCAGCGTTGATATCCGTACGCTGAAATATATAATGGTAATTACCAGAATTAACAGGTCTAGGGAAGCTTGGATGTTCAGAGTTGGCCTCATGTCTGCCTCAGAGATGAAGGTCGCGACAGGGTTACACTTCTCGTTTGGGTTGTACGATAATGCTGACCACGTCAAGTACATTGCAAATGCTGTCACTACAGAGGACTGTAGCAAACCGCCATCTTGCACCTTTGGGTGGATTGATATAATGCCAGCTACAGCGCACAAGACAAGGTTTATGCTCACGAACATTTTGTTGGTGGTGCATTTCCTTGAAGCTGCGAAAAATACGTAAAAACATACGATGGATGTTGCTGAAAGAACGTACAAGGCTAACGTGGAAATGAAGACCGAGTAAAACCAGAATTTATTTCCAGATTCTTCCATTTTGCGAGCCCATGTCTTATTCCAAAGACGAGTGAAGTCCACTAGCAAAAATAGTTGAATGACAATGAAGAAAAAGGTGCCAACAAGCCCGAAGTACATCCAAACTCTGCTGAATTCCATAGGAATGAAAAATGTGAATAACACAAGGCCAAAAAACAGGCCAAATTTAACTATCCAAAGGCCGTTGTGAATTAACGATCGCGGATCGCTGTAAGTGCGTACTGAATAAAGAATGACAGAAAACAACAGAAAGAAAGCCGCCATGGAAAAACAGATCCTATACACTGCCAAATAAGCCGGGTCCATGCTCAGGCAGTTGCCCATCCTTGTGAGTTTGCTGCAAAAGTAAGGGTTACTCTCTAGTACGCGACGAACGCCGGGAAGGTACATGACGCACGAAGCTGCTGTTCCCACCAATAGGAAGAAAGTATAGATAAACCTAGTCGATTTTGATTGGTTCCAGGATGGACATGGCTGAATGAACAAGATATAGAGTGATCTGCATGTGAACATACCCAATGACTTCAGCATTCCCTGTATAGAATTCACGTCTTGTCCAGGAAATAAACTCGATGCTATTAGATTCCAAATGTACAGAAGTATTACAATAAGACTGCTTAATGTCTTCAATGTCAGTACTATCCAGTTAGCAGTGAACTCGCCATAAATGTTTTCTCTAGGATTGTACCAGTTCGTAATAGTCATCATATTGTGTAGCAGGAACAGGGAGAAAACGAAATACACAAGCGAAGAGTTGTAAACTCCTTTAGCGTCTGAAGAGTTTTCGCTTATTTCAGTGGTGTGTGATGTCTTGCCGTTTGAGACTACACACCGTCCAAACTTGGTGTAATGAACTTGAGGCTTTCGCAAGCACGCGAAAACAAGCAAAGAGAAAGCTATTATCACGTTCACTATCGTGTAAAAATTTAAATCTGGCTCTGTACCAGTTTTGACCGCGTATTCTCTCTCCGCAGAGCATTCAGTCTCTCCAAATCTTATCGATGAGTAGGTGGAGTATGTTGCGTACATTGTCACGAAACTTGTTTCCAACAAACGGTCTGCCCACGAGTCCAAAGTGATTGAAATCAAAATGGAAAGCAAGCAGAGGGAAACTATCCCTGTTAACAACAGCACATTTGTCTTGCAACTGTCATGCTTGCTATAGAGTACAAAAAGAAACACAACTACAGTCGCTGATGCCAGATACATTGAGCCTGCTGATAATAACCGCAAGAAGTGCCAGAACTTCGGTGTTGATTCCTGCGTCTTGCCCATAAGGAATACATTCCAACCCCTGCCTGCGTCTATGAGGAATACAAACTGTATTAAAGTGTAAAGAAAAGAACCTGCCATTCCAAAATACATGCATATCAATCCAAACCCACCTCGTGGAATCATCAACGCGCAAAGTACAAATAAGATGAGAAATGCAAGTTTTGGAATCCAGAAACCCGAATTAAATCTGTCCCGGAGAGAACTGCTTGTCGGGCAGGCAAGAAGCAACACACAGAGAACTGCAAAGAAGGTCGTGCAAGCGAAGTACACTCTGTAAATAAATGAGTATGGTAGCATCATCTGACAGTTCCTTATCCATGTTTCATTTGAGGTAGACAAACAAAAGAATCTCTCCGCTAATACGGTTTTTATCGCTGGAAGGAATAAAACATACGACGATGCAATGAGAAGAAGGAAGACCATGAGATAAACTAAGTGAACCGATGTGAAAGACTCTCCAGTCGGCGGTCCAGGTCCGAACAAGGACATAAAATGCAAACGTTTTGAAAATGGTTTTGGGCAATTCCCAGCTAGAGTTGAGTTCATCTTATCTTTCTTTGAATCTTTATCTTTGGTTTCAGCTGAGTTTTCATCAGGGTCATGTATTCCTTGTGCACTTATTTCCTCTCCGAGTTGCTCCATAAAAATGGCGAAATCAGCAATTTCGCATCTAGAATCAGGTCGATGTGTGTGGCTCAAAGTTACGGTCTCTTGCTAAATCTGCCTACGTTCTTTTTTTGTATCCTACAAGTTTCCCGCATCCGCAAGGTAACATTTCAATTTACCAGATTCAAATTTTTCATACACGTAGAAAGAAAATCAAACGACAGGCATGAGAACTGTTTTATTACGATTTCAATTTCACTCGCGTCATTCACAAAAAAACTCCGTGTATTTCCTCACGCTCTAATTTGCTGTTTGCAATATAATTTTGAGATAAACTGTTCATAACTAAGTCAACATGGAAATTCTCTAAATGACCTCCTTGTACATTTCTTTAATTACTTTTGAGAATATAGCTTCACATCAACACCGTAGCTCTTACTTGATGGTGTTCTTTACTCTCTCTACCTTTCTGCCTTATAGTGATCTGATAATCTAAAGAGAAAATAGATTTTAATAGAATTTCACATCAACGAAAATAACACTGATGTATATGGTATTTACTGGTGGTAATTTCGCCACCTGCTTTGAAGACCAACCACAACAAGGAAAGGTACTGGCTTTGACTATTAAATAAGTCTTATATCTACAAGGAAATGTGTTAATCTTTATCTTAGAATTTGCCCTCAATTGTTGGTCGAGCCTCATTATATCGGATTGGAATTGCAAGCACTAATCGATAATTGTGGCAACGTTTAATTTTATTTCGCGTTCTGTCGTTGCAACGTCCAGAACCAATATTTGCACGTTCCGAAAATTTGGAATATTTCGAAAAATCCTTCCGCTTGCCAATAACGATAAGTCTTAACTCGGTAATCAGGTTACTTTAAATCTAATCTTGCCACTACTTCATCTCAAGACATTGGGATTTAAGGAAACGAACGACGCTGTCGAGAAGGTCAAAGGGACGGTCGAGGGACTCGTGCTCATAATGTTAATTGCGTTTTCTGCTTTAAGCGATCTTTTTATCTTACTTTGATTATCCCATTAACAAACAAACAGACAAAAAGAAATATTGTCCGTAGTCCGTGTTTTATACTCCACCCGCATTTTATACCCAGTTAACAGGCGGCAATCCACAGTCAGTGTGTTACTAATAGTGGTGGGCATGTTATGGTTTAGACTGTTCACAGTCCCCTAGTTTTCCTGAAGATTTTTCGAGATCTAGCGCTTACCCTGGCGTCTATGTTAGGTTCAAATGTAGTGTAACGGAGAGTTATCAAATCTATTTAAGGGGCGGGAGACAGCGGGGCGGGTTTAGGAAGAGGCAAGAACCACTGTATTCTTGACACCCGCCTTTAATGGTATATTTGAAACCAATGGTTGCCGCACTTAACATTAAGAGGCCAATCTTGACTATTTTATAGAAAGATAGAGGACTTTGAGTGATGGTTGGCTCAGTGGCTAATGTTTCATTTTGTTTTATATGTTTTTATGAGCCAAAAAGTAATTGTGACGGCTCACATTTTCAGTACAGCAATATAAAACATTGTTTACAATAATCTTGAGAAATAACACTGCGCCGAATAGGGCTCTACAATGACAAAATATAAGCAGAGCTTTGAAAAATGTGTAATTAAAATTCAAAGGACGCAAGACGCCTACAATTTTTTTAGGGAAATTACCGTAATTACGTCATCGATAAACTCACGTGTGATTTTTATATATCTAAAACACTTTCTATTTCTGTTTATTTCACGGGAGTTGAGCACGATGGAAGTGAATCTTGGTGCTCCGTAACTTTCTTTATTTCTCTTCCATTTCTTGAATGTTTTCTACGTGTTTTTTTGTTGTTGTTGTTGTTGTTGCTTTTTTTGTTTTTTGTTTTTTTTTACGTATAGTGTTAAGATTTGGAACTCAGTTCCACCCTCAATAAATCTACTTAGCCGAATATCGGATAGTGATCGAGAGTTTACTTGAAGACTTCCTGCAGTCTGAAGATGACTGTGTTGAAGTCCCCCGCCTTCATGACCTTTTCTCTTCCCTGTCATCTTTACCTTCACAGTTATTTAGCTCTATTACCATAATATTTCAAGAATTCTCTTTCTCCTGTTTATAGTGTTTTCTCTTATTATAGTTTATTTAACTATCGGTTAAATTATGGTGAGTTTTCTTTCTTTTCTTTCATTGTTCTTTTCCCTTGTTTTCTTTCTTTGCTATTTGTGTGTGTGTGTTTTTGTGTGTTATTTCTTATAACAATTTATTTCTCGCGGAGCGAGTTTATAATTTTGTCGCGCGCGCAGCATTTTTCTCTCTCCCCGCCGCGTGTCGCCTTTTCTCGCGTGGGGTAATTTTCACGCGCGCTCGCGTTTCGCTCGCTCTATTATCCCTGAGGAAAAATGGGGGACTACTCGTAGTCTAAATAACAGCGGGCTGCAAACACAACAGTGCCCAATTGGACAAGTGGCTGGAAATCCTTGCCGTGGAAGGTTTAACACCGAAAGAGCGGTGACCTGAACTTCAGCGAGAGCAGCGAAGAAGAAGACCAGTCCGTTAATCGAGCGGCCTATATAAAGCCCGAGAGTGAATAAACACGGAAAAAATGCGAAATGGTTTTGAAATACTCGTTTGAGCTATTTTTCCTCAAATGTATCTTTGAATTCATGATAAATACATCTCCATAAGCTTCAAACAGTGTGAATGGCAGAGGAAAATACTTCAACGCTATTAATTTCCATAGAGAAATCGGCCCTTTGGACGCATGGCCCAGTGGTCAGGGGCCGCACTTTTTCGCTGGAGGAAGTTGGGGTGCAACTGTGTTCAAACCCCGACGCCACTATTCTTTTTTTTTTTTTCTTTCTTTCTTTCATCGTTTTTTTACCCTTTGGCTTTTTACTGTTTATTCTCACTGCTGAACCGTTAGCTTCGCGAGATTTTTGCGAAAACGTATTTCTAGTTGTAAATATAATTGTAAACTCTTATTGTCCTGCCTAGAATAGCATTTTTGCTAATTGTGTGAACCAGGAAACCGTAACTTGTTGCATGAAATTCATTCAATTTATTTCCAGCTTTATAATCTTCGCTTCTGTTGTACTTAATTTGAATATCGTTCTTCTTCTTCCGCTTATTTATTTATTTATGGTTTTGAGCAATTCAATCCTTTCTCTTTTTCTTTATCCGTTTTCTTATCCGTTCAGTTGCCGTGCGTTGCGTGAGAGGTAACCAAATAAAATGATATTACTTCGCAACAAAATCAGTATACTTAAAAAATGTCACGAATATCTTTGTTCACCAAATAAAAGTCATCAAAAGACGGGGGCAGGAATAGAAGAACTATTTTTTTTTTGTTAGTAGTGTATGGGAAAATATTATTTGCGTTGTTAACACTGGTATTGATATTAAGGAAGAGGAAGAGGCAAGAACCACTGTATTCTTGACACCCGCCTTTAATGGTATATTTGAAACCAATAGTTGCCGCACTTAACGTTAAGAGGCCAATCTTGATTATTTTATAGGAAGATAGAGGGCTTTGAGTGATGGGTGGTTCAGTGGCTAATGTTTCATTGTGTTTTATATGTTTATACTGTTCTACGCTTTTTGAAGTATTATATATCTGTGTATTTCACGGGAGCTGAGCACAATGGTGAATCTTGGTGCTCCGTAACTTTCTTTATTTCTCTTCCATTTCTTGAATGTTTTCTACGTGTTTTTGTTGTTGTTGTTGTTTTTTTGTTGTTGTTTTTTTTTACGTATCGTGTTAAGATTTGGAACTCAGTTCCACCCTCAATAAATCTACTTAGCCGAATATCGGACAGTGATCGAGAGTTTACTTGAAGACTTCCTGCAGTCTGAAGATGACTATGTTGAAGTCTCCCGCCTTATTGAACTTTTCTCTTCCCTGTCATCTTTACCTTCACAGTTATTTAGCTCTATTACCATAATATTTTAATGTTAGTAGTGTATGGGAAAAGATTATTTGCGTTGTTAACACTGGTATTGATATTAAGGAAGAGAAAGAGGCAAGAACCACTGAATTCTTGACACCCGCCTTTAATGGTATATTTGAAACCACTGGTTTCAAATATTGATATTAAATGGTATTTCTGGTAGTGATATTACATGACAATAGCTTCGATACCCTGACCGTGAAACAATGTGAAATAATGATAAACGATGATGTGTTATTGTATTCTGCGACCAATGAGGACATAGCTTGCGAGCAGCTCCTACATTACTGGCTGTGGTTGGAGGTATTGACTTAAGGCAATCTATTGCTTAAAGTGGTAGCGTTGTAGCGAGTCCGAAGAGGGATGACAATTTATTTGTCAGTGAATTACTGAAATACCGAATTGCAGTGCTTTTAATAGTCAGTTTCGACAGAAGCCGGAGGCTAACAACTACGTTTAGACCCAAAAAGCTGAAGGCTTTTTCAATTAAGGGGAAACCTTTTAAAAAGGCTAATTAAGGTAAAGCGCTGTAACTCTAACAAAGATGGTAGTCTTCCCAGTACTTCCCAGTTATTATGTCTTCGCATTGGGGATCTTTGCTGCTTTTCCAAGTCGTTCTAAAGGTAAAACGTTTCCTTCTATTGCAGACTATGTTGTTAATAAACAAGTTCATTAGGAACATATTTCAAGCTCATTCCTCAAGCTAACATATTTGTGTCCTCCTTTCTCTTGAAAAGCTTTTAGCCAAGGGTCGATTGGTGGCCTATTTTATGTCAACTTCATGATCGATCAATTTTCCTACCTGAGTATCACAAGTATTGGACGGAGTCTTGTTGAAGACGAAAACGATTGTGGCTACGCCTGTCTAGAAATTCCTTCGTGTTTTTCTTACAACGTTGCTGCCTTCCCTGACGTCAACAGGAAACTTCTGTGCGAACTCCTGCCATCTGATAAGTATAACAACTCAGACAAGTTCAACGCCAGCAAAGAGTTTCATCACTTCTTTATTCCGGTGAGTCAAACTTCCAAGTGTGACCCTCCACGAAATTTCAGGGAATAAGGTGATGTACGGACACACTAAAATGACACGCTAATCAACGGGGAGTGTGCAAAATGACACGTTAGCGTGCGAGTAGTGTGCCATCAGGCACGTTTAATTAACATTTTCGTTTTGGGGAAACACAGAGAATCGTGTCCTTTGAAAGCAGTGTTGGCTGAGCTAAATGACACGCTAGTAAGAAAAATGACACGCTAATGAACAAAATCGCACGCTAGCTAGGATGCAAAATGACACGTTAAACACCAGCTGTGTCTACTTCAACTTACCGTGTTGTCGTACAGTGCGGTGTCCGTTTTGTCTGTAAGTAAGTTCAAGTAACATAGAATGAACCCACACACGCGACCGACAAATGTGCCTTCGTAATCTGCCGCACGCCGAAAACGAACCAAAATTTCGATCTTGAACTTTTCCTTGAATTCAGTTTCCCGTTCTGAGTTTCAAGAAACCAGTAATTTTGAATATTCAGCACTCGAAGGGATTTCGAGAAAACTATTTAGTTCTCGAGAAAAATATCACAACCATTCGCACGTGCAGCGAGTTGCACCGAACGACGGCGTTTTATACAAGTACGATTTAAACGAAGTTGAGTTAAAGTTTTGAGGCGATAAAAAGGGACCAACATAAAGTTTTTTTTTTTTTTACTTTGAATTTTGGAAATTGACTTTGTATTTTTGTATAAAGTCTATCTCTTGTACTATAAAAAAAAGAGGTTTTTATTTTTGGTGCATAACGTCAGTAAGGTGTGAAGGTATGTACTTACACGCTTGCGTGCGAAGACGTTAACAGATTGAAACTGATCTGAAATAGTCGCTGCGACTCTCTTTTCGTGTGATCAAAAACATAGTTTTTGAGAGGCTTTCAAAATTTACCACAAAACGTACGACAAAAAATAGAAGGCATAGATAATCTCCGACTGTACCATCCCTAAAGGCCTTTGTACATTCTGCTTTTGTTTCCCCACTAAAATCCTCCACCTTGATGCTCCATTTTTCCCACTAAAATGCTCGCTAGTCCCCAAAAAAAGTTATTAAAATGCTCAATAATGCGCATCATAGAGAGGCATTTTTTATTAATTCTAAACATTTTACGGGGGTTTAAGACTAACAAATATTTTTAAAAGATCATCTATAGTTTTTTGAACTACTTTTAAAATCGTCATTTCTCTTCAAAAATGTTTCAATTTTTTTTTTCTGTAAGTAAAAACACCTAGTTTTCCTGGAAAATGCCACTAAAACGCTGGAATCATGTTTAATGCTTTTGCCTCTTTCAATGCTCGGGAAAAAAATGCTAGCATAATGTACAAAGGCCTACGTCCGTAGCAAGATAGAAAACGCGGAAGTTCGAGTGTTGTAGATGCAAGTAACATTTGCATATGTCACATGTAATGTGAAACCTCTTGCTTTTTGCACGCAACGCAACTTTACAAACATACAACAGCGACCTTACAGTTCTAGAAGCAAACCGCCATGAAAAAAGTCATGTTTTTGGTACTGAAAGTTATTCTACTATTACAAGAGAGGATAAAGGGGACAGAGAACGCATGCCCCATACACAATCTATTCCATGGGTAATTCGTCTCGAGCTATTTTTAGAATCGGGATAAAGTTAACGCGCGCGCTGCGTGGATGTTTCGTGGAGGTTTCGCATGACTAAACGCCGTGCAAAACATGTCGCGCGAAAGGCAATGAAAGCGTAAAGAGATCGAGAGCATTCCTGAATATTGAAGCAAAATGAGTCCGTGCTCACCTGGGAAAAGGGAATCGCTGGACTCTTTGACAACCCTTGAAATCAGTTTAACTCGAAGTTGTCGTAACCTCAGGACTTTAATAAAATTAGAAATTTTGCCGGTCTATTGAAACCGGTCGTTTGTACAATAAAGCAAGTAGGACGCCAAGCGTTATTGTTGTTGAATAATAAAAGACTAATCGAAGAATAAATATCAAACCAGAAATTGCTCTCTTCAAACTGTAAATTATAAATGATCCTGAGAGAATATGCAGTGTGTTAAGGATTTCCCTGCTGTACTGTTAGCTCTATACATGAGAGGAAGGGCGATTCTTGAGATTCCCTTGAGATCTGTAGTGTTAAAAATAACTCGAGACGAATTGCCTATGGAATAGGGTGTGTATGGGGGATGCCTTCTCTGTCCCCTTTATCCTCTCTTGACGATTATTAAATTCATTCGAGATCATTTTCGGACAAGAAACTTCAACCGCGCTGCAACGGAAGGCGGCTGGGAGAGGAAGTCATATGAATTTTAGCCGCCCGCGAGCAAATCGTAGGTGCTAGGTTTGCGAAAATTGCAGCCGTGTGACTGAGAAAAAAAAAAGGCGACAAGTTTGTTTGCCTCCGGTGAGCTCGAAAATCATACTAGAAAAGGAAAAGTAAAAGATGGAAACTGGAGGAGAAAGAAAGGAGGGAAAGAAAAAAAAAAAAAAAAAAGCAGTGGCTGCATTCTTAGTTTTTAAGTCAAGTTCTTTGAAGATAGCATTTGAAAGAGAAAAAACTGCCTGATGGGAGAGATATATTTTGGCTGTAAAGTTATGATTACCCATGCAGCTAGGCAGAAATCTGATAAACAAAATAATACATTTAACATGTAACGGCTAATACTTAAGTAACGGCTTTCGTCTTTTTTTTTTTTTTTTTTTTTTTTTTTTTTTTAGATTTAAAGCCTTACGACTAAATTTGTCGGTATTTTAAAGCTAACAGTTCTCTCTATTTCTTTGTTAGCCCCTTGTTACTTTGGTTTTCCTTCAGTGGAGATGGTCTTTCTGTGCAATAGTCAACTGTGTTTAATATTTATTATTTTTGAAAAACCAAAAAGGTCTCTTTTATCACCGAAAACTAGGTAGCAGTTTTTCTCTTTTCTTTAAGTTTTCTACGAAAGTAACAAAGACATTTTGCGCATTTTTTGTTTGAGCGTATAATGTCAACTACCGTGGGTGTCCTGCGTTAAAAGCTCAAAATGTTTAACGCTTAATTTTGACATGTTCCACAGAACATACTTTGGCGGATTTTTATTATGTTGCTAGATAAGTCCACCCTTACTTAAATGGCGTTGAAAACAGTTCTGTTGCAATTAGTCTAATCAGGAGCCCATTTTTTGATGTTGAGCCTCTAAAATGCCTAGATTGACTGGACTATTTTCGGCTATGACTGAAATGACGCATGTAAGTTGATCACGTAATTTTCCCCAATTCGAGGCCCTTGATTTTCGTGTAATTATGCACGCGTATTAAAAAGTAAATACTTTGAGTACTATAGATTAGAAAATATTGTAGCGGGGAAGTCCTGTTTTGTGGTGTATTGAGGCGTTACGTTTCTCAGAATATTGTCGCAATTACTGGATATCTACGGTTAAATATATTCACTTTGTTCTTTGTATTTGATTGATAGCCTCTCGCAGATGTTAAGTTGTGAAGTCGCGTTACACTGTATAAATACTTGAGATATCAATGATTTAACCTTCGACTAATACTAGAGGCAACTTCAACAACCCGTCTGACGTTACGTATGTGTCACGGATGTGTTTATACGGGTAGCTTTGTATTTGACTATCACGTACTCTACTTCAACACTTCCATGTCCATAGAATAGAAATCCCATATAGGGCTTTACCGGAACGGGTCGGTCCACGAATTCTATCGCTTGAAAGCGTTCATTACTTTAGAACAAGTGATTATCTTACTTCAGTGATCGAAAAAAGAATAACCTTGAGGAGCAAATGTCACCTTAATGCAGCCATGTAGATGATCTTTTACACATTTTGTTAGTCTTAAACCACCGGAAAATGTTTAGAATTAATAAAAAAATGTCTCTTTATGATAAGCGTTATTGATCATTTTAGTGACTTTTTTGGGGACTAGCTAGCATTTTAGTGGGAAAAATGGAGCGTCAAGGTGGAGGATTTTAGTTGGGAAACAAAAGCAGAATGTACAAAGGCCTATACGGAAGGTACAGTCGGAGATTATCTGTGCCTTCTTTAGTAGTTGGTGTTGATGGCCTGATCTTGGGTAGCAATGACAAAGCCATCTGTTAAGCCCAGACTTAAGCCCAGCTTTCTTAAGCCATTGGTTGATCATTTGATGGTCATTTTTGGGTATTGCCCATACATTGGTTTATCTTCCCATTTTTTTGTTTCAATTGATCTTGGGCATGGAGCTTTGCTTTCTGTTTAACTTTTCTGGCATAGACAGTTGGAGCTTTGTTCTCAGGTTCCAGTGTTTAAGGGAAGTTGAGCTCTCTTTTAACATTGTAGCCTGGCTAGGTACGGAGTACTTTTTCTTTGTTCTTTTTTTGTTTTGTTTTGTTTTTTTGATGCTCTTTAGCAATCACGAGAAGGGGGTCATTTTTGGTGTTAAAGCAAGTATCTAAGCGTATTGTAGCTGTTTTATGGGCCGTTTCCAGTTGGCTCAAGCCCCTGTAACCCTCATTTCTAGGAAGGTACATTCTATCCATGTCAGCTTTTGGGTGTGGTGCGTCCTTTGTAAGGTGAGTAATTTTCTCGTTTTTCGATCTAGTTGTCTCAAATCTTTCATTTTCCAGTCAACGATGTTAAAGCTGTAAGCTACGAGTGGTGTGTTTATGGCTTCCACTCTATTAACTGCATCGAGCTCAGATTTTGTTACAATTCGTATTCTGCGATAGTGCTGCTTTCTAATCTTTCCTTTTATTTTGGCGTGTTGTATCTCGTCCCCTTCATTCACTCCCAGGTATTTGTATGTACCTTCTTGCTCCAGTTCTTGGATGGTGGTGTCAAGCTCAATTTGGATGTTTTCCGAGGTGGATGTCGTCACTGAAACCTTTTACGATGGTCAGAAGGCCAGTCTGTTCTTGGTCATTTTTTTCCAAATGTTTTCATGTCATCCATTTAGAATAAGTGATTGATAGTACACGTACTTAGCTTGAAGTATATCAATGACTAGTGCTGTTGAGAAGAGCGGATGGTGGAGCAATGATGATGTTGATCCAGGCTGTTGACAGATTTTTTTTCTCTTTTACTTTCTCAATAATGGAACTTGTTTATTTAAAGCTGATCTTTGCAGCCATAGCTTCCTTTTCGACAGCCCTTTTTTCAATGGGTAGCAGATGTTTTTATGAAGATGTTTGTAAACTCTGTCGGTGATGATGGATGTTAATATATATTATTGGTTGTAGGAACGCATGTGATGGGGCGACAATTGTTAGGATTTTTAGTGTCTTCTTTTTTGGGAAGCAGATAAGTGGTACCAGTTGTTAGCTAGCCAGGACAGATTTCAGGGTTGCTGAGACATTCATTGTAAACATTTGTTAGGTCTTGGTGTAAGGAAGGCAAGTTCCTGATCCAGAAGTTTGCTATCTCGTCCTTAGCAGGGGCTTTCTAGCTCCTAGCTTTTTCAATTGCTGTTTTTGTTTGTTCTAGGGTTATTTATGGTGATACTTGATGATTGACTTCAGTAATCGCAGTTTCTATTTGGGTGAGCCAGTCAGCGTTTTTGTCGTAACTCTTTTGTTTTTCGAAGATGTTTCCCCGGAAGCTCTCTACTTCATCAATTTTAGGTGGTTCCTTGATCTCAGTGTACTTTTCCCCTAGTTCTCTATAAAATGTCTTTGCATTTTCTCTGTAAGTTTTGTTCTGGTGGAAAAACTTCCCTCTGTTTTCAAATCGCCCAGTGATTCTGTAACAGCAGAGGCAGTTGCATACGCAAGATGGTTGGTATCTGTGAGATATTGGCGCATATTGCTCATCTGTCCGGTTGCTGGCTTTGTTTGCTGTGTCACTCGTGTTTTATTTTTGGAATTGGCAGCCTCTTACTTATTGGTGTTTCCTTGGCTATTTCATGTCTTTGGAGGATACTTTCTTTCATGATGTTCCCATACTTATCTTGTGTATCTATGTTCAGTGGTTCTTGTGTATCAGATTCATTATTTTTGTCATTTTCCTGATTTTTATTTGCATTTTGCTTCTCTGGCGCTACACTCGTACCTCTTGTAAGAGGTGTAGTATTTTGATTTTTCTGCTTCACACTTATCTGGATAGCTTGCAGCTCCATTTTGGTTAGTCGTTCGCTACTGGAAATGTCACGAAGGAAATTTTCCAGTTTGTTGGCATTTAAGTTGAGCCTCTTGGTGATGTTATTAGCGCGCAATATGTCGTAGGTTCCTTGAGTAATAGATGTTTTGGGATTAAGGGGAGCATTGTAAAAAGCTTCCATAACGCCTTTGTACTCTTTCCGAGACCATTCTTGTAGACTGGCTTTAGAGCAATTGTGAGATGGTGCAAAATGAGGGCCACTTTGAGGGGTGTGGAAATCCTCAGGTGCATGATGGGAAATAGTTTGTTCCAGTCATAGATATTTTGACTTCAGCCTGGTTCCCTACTGATGGACGCAGCCCTTGTTCACCCGCACGACGACCGACCGAATTTTTATCCATGACTTGCCACGTCTTAACATTAGTTGAGGTTGGTTTTTATTCAGAATGTCATTCTCCCAGGTGAGCTGTCAACCAAGACTAAGGAGCCCCTCCTACCCCTATGTTTTAACCCTAACTGGGGTGGCTTAGGGGCTGCAGATACTTGCTTAAGGTATCACCCCAGACTCTGGTGGACGGGAGCGTCCACATTCCTGTGGTATAGGCTAAGGCTCTAGCCTGTCCTACCCCTGTAATGAAGGATTAAATTAACTGCAAAACCGTGGACGAAGATCCTGTTAGTTGTAAACGTTGGATCTCTAGAAAAAGATCTAATCAGCCATAATATAAAGAACCAAGAACGAGAAGTCAAAGACAAGTGCAAAGCTGATTTAATATAACGTGTATTGTTTTTTTTTATAACAATATTTTGGCTGGCCATACCAGCCTTCTTCAGGTTTACAGATGTTACTAAACTTACGTAGCGATCACAATATTATATAGATGGAGAATGTCGCAGTAAAAATTGTAATAAATACCCTTGTGCCCTATCATCATCATCATCAGCAGCAGCAGCATTATCATCGTCATCATCATCATCATCATTATTATTATTTTTATTATTTATTTATTAATCTTTTTTTATTTTTTACTCTACTTTATTTTATTAGTATATTTTGGAAAATAAACTTGCTTCTTGCTGAAAATAGTGAAAATTCATAGAGCACCCAGCCTCGAATAAGTGCTCACTCTCAAGGACAAAATATTCAATGACCGCTCAGAGCGCTTGACCGAATCATCACGTTAAGCTGAGAAGGGGCGGCCTTAATCAGGACTCACGATAAGGCATCTAACATGCCTTTCTTTCTACAGTCTTCTTGTGACAGTTCGCCCTGTAAGAACACTGGCAAATGCATTCCCTTGTACCAGGAAAATGGATATACGTGTATCTGCGTGGAAGGATTCACGGGACGAAACTGCAAAAAGAGTAAGCAATACTAAGAAATACTTTTTGTCGTTTTGCTTTTGTTTTGCTGCCCCTGTTTTGCTGTTCGATTCGTATTAATGAATTAATGTGTTACACAGGCTGAGTATACATTTTGCTTTGATCATGTCTCCCGCAGATATAGACGAGTGTAAGAGCAGTCCCTGTTTAAACAACGGAACATGTACTGACCGAATCAATTCATTCAGCTGCAATTGCCCCCCTGGATTTGTCGGGAATCGATGTGAAAGTGGTTAGATAAGTCTTTCAGCTGAAATTTTCCATTGCTTATCCTATATCATAAACGAGTGTCCTTTTTTTAAGCGTCTTCCGATATTATTGTGTTACAGACATAAACAAGTGTAAGAGCAACCCCTGTCTCAACAACGGAACTTGCACTGACAGAGCCAACGGATTCAACTGCAGTTGTCCAGCTGGATTTGCTGGGAAGCGATGTGAAATAGGTGGGAAAAAGGAGTGATAAATAGAGCTGAAAATTATGAGTGTGGATATATCATGTGTAACTCATGGAAAAAAAATGAACCAGTTGGTTGTATTTGACAGGTTGTCATCTACATGGTCCCAAGCCTCCGTTTCAAAGTGAGGCTAAGTACGAAGCCATTGTCTTGAAAATGATTTTTTATTCTCATGCAAATGAAAGTCATTTTCACTAGAGAGGTTTTGCTCTAAGCCTCGTTTTGAAAACTAGTTATTTTGGAACTCGGAAATGGTCTATTCTTTCCGTTTTTAGCTGTGTAGGTTAGAAAGCAATTGTTTAAGATAATCACAACTGAGCTGTGCCTTAAGTTAAGTTCCGTCTACGTACACTGTTTTAGTTTAGCGTGTTATCCCGACTTAGCGCCGATAAGATAATGTATTAAATCACGACGCCTTCTCACGACCCTGTTGTCTTCGTGCCTTGCTGAGGGTTTCTTGCCAACTGATTGCATTTCATCTTATTCTGTAGAGGTTGACGCGAATCCTTTAAAGTTATGGTAAAACAGGCACAACATTGCTACATGTACAAAGCGAGTTGAAAAACGATGTTGCACGTTTGGCACCTGTCTGTCCACCATTAAAAGGTGTTTACGCAACACAAACAACTCAGTTACAACGTCTTTTAAAGGACCGCCTGATCACAGTTTAACTTTAATTAAGCCCAAATCTTGCTTGCGTGTTAGTAATACTTGTTGAGTCGTTACGAATGTGGAAGGTCAGCATATGTTTCCTGTCTGCCTTGAACTTTTCCATGCCAAGTTTTCCTAGCTTATCTAAGCTTCTCTTCAGAATAGCTGTCTTATTTTGTTTGATTTGTAAGGAAAAGGACACAAGTTAAGGATTCAGGTCTGGGTAAAATTCCTAACAACTTTCTTTTTGACTAAATGCTTATTTGAAAGTGTGTACCGTCAATTTTATATCATAGTCCTGCACCGGCAGAATTATGTGCATTCTTTTCTCTGAAATTGATTTTCTTCCTTAAGTTTCATATAAACAAGGTTAACACGATCTGGTTGATGGGCGTCTTTTCGCAGCCTGCGCATACTTAAAAAAGTAATTTTATCCCTGGAAAAGTTGCCACACGTCTTTGCCATGTTTCGCCCGAATGCAGCTTGCCTGAATGAGGACTCCACCCGATATAAACTAGTGTGAAACCAATTCTTATTTTCTGTTTCACCTTTAGATGTTATCTCAAATGTGGTAACACAGTTTCTTTCGCCTGCGATTGGGAATAACAGCAACTGGGCTCTTTGTTGGCAGGCCTCCACTCATGGCTGGGCTGGCACTACCTTTCACAACAAATGCGATGGGAAACGTCACACGATTACAATCATCAAAAAAGATCAGTACGTGTTTGGAGGATACACTGATATTCCTTGGAGTAAGAAAAACGTCCTTTTAGTCAGACTGAAATTGAAAATAAGACACGCCGCTTGTATAGCGCGTTTGTATTGTGGTTTATGGTCTATAGTCACTGAACTCTTCTAATCTAGTGCTACAAATACCAGAAAAATGTCTTCCCTTGTTGCCACCTCCATTGTCAGTTGAATCAATGAAAATAACCAATGTGACAGTCCTGATCTGTTTAATTCAGCAAGAAAGAAAGTGGTAGGATAAATTGACCCATCACCATGTTTACTTTTGACTTTCCAAACTTGTAGGGATTTGTCCTGATAACTGGATTCATCTACAAGGTTCCTGCTACCAATTCTCGTCAAAGAGTTTGAGCTGGACCGCTGCAAAATCTGCCTGTGAAGCTAAGGGGTCTAAGCTCGCCATGGTGACATCAGAAGCCGAACAACAAGCACTTGTCTCCAAAGTATCACAAAATGTATGGATTGGTTTGCGGAGGGACCCCAAGGTCCATTCACGTTGGTTGTGGGTTGATGGATCAAGAGCGACATATACTCACTGGTATCCTGGAGAACCGAACGATCATGGGGGAAATGAGGACTGCACAGTTATGTTTCCTCCTGCCGGAAAATGGAATGATGGTCAATGTTCCAGCAGTCTTCAACACCTTTGTGAAACCAATGGTAGGCGGCGGATAATTGTTTGCTTAATATTGTTAAGTTATTATATAGTTACATAAACGCGCACATGTATGAATGTGGGAAGCGTACAATGCAAAGCGTTTCATCCTTGTATTTTTTATTTAAGTTAATGATCCCAAAAATTAAAGTAAAAAAAAATGGAACAGGCTAAATATCCAACGCGCAGTCGTGGAATAATTGTTAAATATTCTAAAGGGGGTTACGTCACGTTTCCTATTGTTATTGCTTTTCAGCGTTCGTGGATGGATACGGTACGACTTCCAAGTCGTTTATTTTCTCTCTCCTGGATAAAGAAGGGCTTGCACCATTTAAGAGCATGGTGACGAATAAATCATTTGCAATTTACCGTGGGTCAAGTTACGGTCCAACATTTGGTAGGGAGTATGACGTCTACATTGCTGATAATGCCAATCAGAATGCTAATTCCTACACTAATTTTGGCACCTCTTACTCTCTTCCGAATGGAGTTACCAACAGTTCTACAATCCTAGCTGGAACTCGTTACTTCTTACCTGACGAGGTTGAGGTATTTTATCTCGCTTGAGTCCTTACTAGGTTAGGAGCTACGTCTCAATTTTTTTTCCCAGTATGTTAAAACCTTAAAGACACATTGGAATAACAGGGAAAAAATGAAATAATGTCTCAGTTTTATTGAAAATTACTCTTCTAATATACCTCCACTTTAGGTGAATGGCTTAGGCTTTTAATGGCCAGGATTTAAACGGATTCCAAATTAAAAAAAAAAAAATGGGCAAACTTTTTTTCAATTTACTCCTGTGTTGTTAAAATGTGAGCATAAACAAATCATAGCAAGTGTACCTTTCGATGAAAATCATTTGACGTGTTTCTTTTACAGTTCTGATAAGTGAGATACCGAAAATATGACAGAATACTTAGTTACAATTTTAGCTCAGCTTTGACTAGACAAAGTGTAAATATCCATTACATAGCCCCTTTAACCTTATGATTAAGCAGCACAACCAAGGGTTGGAACCTCTAACAAGGTTTAATCATACCGTGGGGAACGGCAGCAGGGTTTAGGAGCCCGGGATAATGGGGGGGAGAGAGAAAAGGGGTACGGAAGGCACGCAGAAAGGGAAAATACGGGAGATGGAAGTTCTAAAGGGGCAGGAAGTAAGGGAGGGATAGAGGGAAACTACGCAGCAATGCTGAACATTTCGCAGGCGAAGCCAAAAAAAATGGAGCGGAAGTCAGGAATGCAAGCTACTGGAGAATAGAGGGTTTGACCCCCTGTCTCAACCCCCCCCCCCCCTCCTCCCAATTAAAATAACGAAGGGTTTAATTTGCAGGTGTGCAAGTTTGACTTACAGTCCTGTAATACTAACCCTAAAGTCAACCCTAAACCTTAATTGCATCCTCACCTACACTATTGCAGATAGCTTTTAGCGCCGACACGAAAACCTATCCGGTAGGGTATGAACAGCAACAGCAGAGAACTGGAACAAGTCATCCGAATATATCAAACATCGTGCCGGAGCGATTAACCGAGTGGGTTTGTTCTCTAAATCGCAATCCTCACTTTCGGATTCTTTCTTTCGTATGAATGGGTTCCAGTGCTCTTTGCTACTTATTCACTTCCGCCATGTTACGAATACCCGTTCACACTGCAGCAGTATGGCACACAACCTACCCGAAATGAAAGCTCCCGCTATTTTTTTGTCTGTTTTTTGCCGAAATCACCCTTCTTATTTCTGAACAGAAGCCCTATCAGGTATGATTTCGTGCCTTCGCAAAAGCTATCCAGTATTAAGTGTAAACATTTTCTAAGTCCCTGCTGTCCTAATGTAGTATTAAGTTAAGGCCTCTATAAATTTAGATAAGTTCAAGAACGTTTTGCTAATTTCCATTCTTAGAGATTTTAGCTCAGATTTGTTGACGTATATATAGTAAACTAAAGTGCAAGGAGGTTATTATAGAGAGAGCCTTTGGACCTTTGATATTTAGTCTAAAATATTTGGTCACAGAGTGAAGTCTTATGAAAACAAATATATTTAGCAGGATCATCAATGCAAGTGAAATGTGTCAGATAAACAGCGGCTGTTTTATTTAGCAAAGCTTTTAAATCAAAAGTTGTAAAGGGCTTCTTGAGCAGTATATACCTTGTTATGAAATGTACTTTTTGAAAAACAAGTTGTAATAAAAATTGCACTTTCTACACCGAAATTTTTGTTTTCAGTTCTCGAAAAGACCCCTAGGCCTGCATTTATATAATGTAATTATTTTTATTTACCTAGAGAGTCCCAGCGATTTCACCTTTTGCTTTCTTTGTGGATGTACACCCTTCCATTGGTCAAAACCACGCACAAATTTGTTACATGCGTTAATATATAGATTTAACCCGGGCTAAAAGCATAGCTCCAGTAAATACGTTTATAATGTAGATCAAACAGTAAACTTTTAATCCACAAATCGATTAACTGGGGAGATCCATATATATGACTTTTAAGGGTGGGGCTGGGTGACTTAGAGAAAAAATGATTAGGAGACAGTGCAAGAATGAAACAACATCTAAAATCTTACATCGAGCCAATAGTCTCATTTGTACACCTAATAAATAGAAATCACCTTTGGTTACAGTAGCCAGGCGTACAAATTCCTCCCAAGCAAAATTACCTTTTTGCCCACCTACAACACCTTAATTTTATAAGCTAATTTGACAGTCCCAAAATACAATTTTATGCCGTAAAGTCGGTAAAGACACGATAGTCCTCGGTGGCAGCCACTTTAAATGTCATAACTAAACGGTTTTATCTCTCTGTCTAAAGGCGGAAAGGCCAAAATAAACAATCAGGACGTTCTTTTTTTGTGTGTGGCTTGCTACAAGTCTACTGGTAGCGCGTAAACCAGCCTTTTTTACATTATCTAAGAGGTAAACAGAACTATCAGGCGTAGTCTGTTTATCGTTCAGACCTCGCACAGAATTTATGTCAGTTTTGCCCTCTTTTAAGCTTACTTATAATTCTGCAGTTTTTTTACAGAATAATCTTAGAAAACAAATTAACCTCATTCAATATTAACGACGATCAAAGCACTAGCTTCCCTTTCACACCAAATTAAAAAATAACAACAACATAAAACGTATTGATATAGAGGATTCACCATTAGGCGGGAGTGTTGAGTCAGGTCAATCTCCCATTGCACTGTATGTAGTATGCAAGGTAATAATGGGCTTTGAGCAAAAACGCTCCAAGTAAATCATATTTTAATTCAATTTCCAAAATCACCCGTCCAAACAGTCACTTTAATTTTATCGGAACTTTGCCAAGCGCCAAACTTGCAGTGCTAGCTGGCAGGTATTTGAATAAACACTAGAAATGACAAAGAGGTCTTTTTATTTTGCATTTTACTTCTAAAACGTAACACCATCATTCATTGATACCCGCGTGATTTTTTAAAAGCACTCCTGCACGCGATGTTCGCAAACGACTGAAAACAATAACTGGCTAGGCGATACTAAGAAAGAGATCTTAACAGACATTCAAGATGAAGACAGGAAATATAATTCAATGAAACGTTTAAAAGGACAACAATTTTTATTCTCAAAGACGTTTATTGAGAGTGAACGTTAAATAGTTTTATTGTTCATTCAAAATATTTCCCTGATTCTAATTGGCTAAAAGCACACGCATAATTCACCACAACCAGCTACTGGTGACTGAATTTCAACGAATTTTGCGTTTAATGAACCGTTGACCTCAAAAGTGCAGCTTCCTTGCAGGTTAATGCACCGTTAACCAAGAAAACCTGGGACGAGGTTGAGTTGTTTTGGTTGTGAAAACAACAATGGCGGACTCGCTTCAAGAGTAAGAACTGGGCGCAATAATAGCTAAAAACCTGGTAAGAACGTACAGCAAGAACACAGCTCCAAGGGCGACATTTGCTATTTGGAGAATATTTGCACTATCGAAGATGAACTTAGCATCGATGGAGGTAAGCATGTTTTAGCTATGTTTCTAAACTAGGAATTATTTTGAATGAATAATAAAACAATTATTGAATTTGGCTTTCGTCTCGGAGGGTGTTATCCGCCTCGGCCTACGGCCTTGATCCCCGATCTCCATAATTCTTCATAAGATACTCATTCATTAATTGTTAATTAAATATTCTTTTTTATACCCATACAAATCGATGAATGGAATAATCTTCGAAAGGAAATTGCTGAGGCGGAAAATTTGAACACTTCTAAGAACAGACTGAGACGTCATCTTGCAAATTTTCCTAGTGAACACTAAGTTCTTCAAACGTATAGTATATTTTTAGTATTTTAAACAGTTCTAAATAATTAATGTTCTTAATTTATATATTTTATTTATGTATTTTTTTTTATTTCCATGGATTTGTGAATAAACAGTTATTATTATTATTATTATTATTGTTATTATTATTATCATTATCATTATTATTAAGTGTCTCTAAACATCCTGAGTCATGAATAAAACCTTGCAGATTTAAGCCTTAAGCTTAAGTTTAAAGTTTAAAGCTTAAGTTTGCTATTTTGTAAGATGAACTCCAGGGAAGAATATATCGTTCAAAGCTTTCTTTTTACAACCAATATAGGATAATTAAGCTATTCTTCAGAACGTTTTCTTTCAAGTCACGGTCAGAAAATGTCTAAAGACCTTTTAAGTTCTGTACTAGGTGAGATCATAGTCTTAAGTCTTACAGATCTGCGTAAAATGACGGCATAAACAATGCCAGACTTCATGAAACCAGAAATAGAAAAAAATGAAAAAAAAAAAAAAAACATCAAATGTAATAAAATTACTCAAGCTTACCGGTGGAGATGCAGGTAGGAAAACATCAAGTAAGGCCAGAATCACTTAAGACGTTTCAACCTTCTTAAGCATCCAGCAAGACCAAGTAAGCTTACTAGCAGTAACTTATTTTAGATAACGATGATTTCCGATTTCTTTTTCTTGAGCGGTGCATTTCTCGACAAAAACCCAGTAAACAAGCCAGCCATTAATAACAAAAGAGTCTTGATAACAGCTGTATTTCATTTTGTAGATCCAGTGCAAAAAGAAGGTTAAAACATGATAGGATGACACGAATCTCTGTCAGCGTCAGCCACAGGTGGCCCAAGTGTAATATGAAATAAATGAACTAAAAGCGGTTAGAGTTAAGAGTTATCAGTAAAGTGTAAATATTGTTATCTGGTATCGTTGTCTTTGTATTTACGGAGTTTCAGCGCGATTTGAGTACTAAAACATCATTTGACCTGACAGTGTAATAATAAGAGATAAGGTAGGGCAGAATCGCTCGATCGGCCTTCAGAGCTGCTCAGAATCAGCTCCAAATTTCACGAGAAAAAAATCAGACATACTTAACATTTGATTATCAGTATCATCATCATCATCATCGTCATCATCATCATCATCATTAACATTATTATCATTACTATTATCATTATCTTTCTTTTGCGTAAGCGAGTGTTTTTTACCAGGCGTTTAGCTGTTTGTTATCCATTTAATTTGTGGTTCTGGGCGTCACACCGCTATCAAATAACCGTTAAGCCGTTCTTCTTCTTCCGTTTCCATTTTTTTCAAGCCTCTCATTCTATCCCTTTTAAACTTAAGTCCGTTTTCTTTCCGTGCAGAAGCCGTGCGTCGCGTGAGCGGTCACAAAATAAGAACGATATTACTTCGCAACAAATTATATTTCCTAAACATCCGCTCACGGCCATCAAACAGTTAAGCCGTTCTATTTTATTCTCAAGCCGTTCATTCACTTCCTTTTATTTTTCTCCATTTTCTTATCCGTTCAGTTGTCGTGCGTTGCGTGAGAGGTAACAAATTAAAATGATATTACTTCACAACAAAATTTAAGTCAAAAAAAGGCTCAAACAGCTTTGTAGGGGAAAATCTAACGTCATTAAAAGACGGGGGCAGGTATAGGAAGAACTATTTTTAGTTGGTAGTGTATCGAAAAAGATTTTTCGCGTAAACACTGATATTGCTATTAACGTCAGTGTAACTGTAGCCGTGGTTGAAGTTAATGAACTAGCGCAATCTCTTGCTTAGGGTGGTAGCTTTTTAGCGAGTCTGCGAGGTGTGGCATAACTAATTTGTCAACGAATTACTAAAAGACTGATTTGAATTGCTTTTCATGGTCTGTTTTCACAGCAAGCCGGAAGCTGACAACTTCATTTAGACCTAAACAACTGAAGCTTTTTTCAACCAAGGGCAAACCTTTCAAGAAACGAGGTACGACGCCGCAACTCTAGCAACTGAAAGATGGAAGGCTTCCAAGTACTTGTCCGATTCTATGCCTTCGTATTGGGGATCTTCGTCTTTTTTCCGTGTCATTCTAGCGGTAAAAATTCCCTTGTATTGCAGACTGTGTTTTTAATACTCAAGCAATATTGGAAGGTATCAATAAATAAATATGCTTTTACATCAGGACGAGTTGTTAATTATTTAGTGATGGCTATATATTGATTCACTGCAATGAATATTTTTTATGGTTAAACATATACATAAACGCGACATAATTAGGAGAGGTGGATGTTTATTTGTATGCAGTCCACGCAGAATTAGACAAAAGCTCGTGTTCACATCTGAGAGAAGATGGAAAACCCAGTAATTCTGAGAAACTACTTCTTTTTTCTGTGGATCTTTTCAACCCTTCACACGGATTCTCAAGGTACATAAAATCCATTTTCTATTTCTTTGATTGTGATTTTCATTGTGACATAAAAAAGGTGAAAATCTTATGTTTTTCCTCTTTTCTTTTGAACAGCTTTCAGCCAAGGATCCATTGGCAACCTTTTCTATGTCAACTTCATGATAAGTGAATTTTCCTACCTGAATATCACAAGTATTGGACGGAATCTTATTCAAGACGAAAACGATTGTGGTTACGCCTGTCTAGAAATTCCCTCGTGTTTTTCGTACAACGTGGCTGCTTTCCCTGATGTCAACGGCAAACTTCTGTGCGAACTCCTGCCATCGGACAAGTTTAACAACTCAGAAAAGTTCAACGCCAGTAAAGAGTTTCATCACTTCTTTATTCCGGTGAGTCAAGCTTCTAAATGATCAAAGTTGTTTCGCTCAATAACCCTTTCGCTGCCAAATGTGGCCGAAGGCAAAATTCGATAAGAATATCCAAATTTCATTTCTTAAAATGTACGGGCAGGGAGGTTTCATTTGAATGATCACTCCATAGGATTTCGTCCACGGATTTAAACATTTGAGCCATCTTACAAACTCCATCATTCCCCCTGACAGTGAGAGAGTTTTAAGAAAAAATGCTCAATAATCCTCACCCCTTACGGGATCTCTCAGGGATAATGAAACAGTGAGATGATTCAAAGGAGACATAACATGGTTAAAAATCCCAAATGGTAGGAGGCGAACCAGTTGGCTATTTTAAAAATGACTTAGCATTTGAACACTGGACTAACAAAGAACAATCAAGCAAGTAGACAGAGTGGTACTTGAACTCGGGACTTCCGGATTACATGTCCAGCGCTCTAACCTCTCGGCCATGCTGCCTCCTCCTTTTTATGGAAATACTGCGTAGATATTCTTATCTCTCTGCATAGTTAGTTACGGGCTTCGTATGATCGAATTCTAGGGGGCGGGGGGGCGCGCAGGCATTCAGAATTCTCTTTACCTCGAATACGAAAGAAAACATTCATCATCAATCATCAATCTTTGTTTATAATCGTATCATTTTACATGGTCTTCCTAGGAATCGTGTTTAGAACTAGACTAAAATACTCTAAGGAACTATTGACTATAATGTTAAAAATACAAAAACTTACATTATGAATAATAAGAGTTTCAATGGGTCATGGTGTATTAGAGAAATCTTTCCCATGAATTGAAGTTTTAAAAACGTTTAAACTAGGTAGTTTTCTAATCTCTGGGGGAATCTTGTTCCACAGAACAGATCCTCTGTAGTGTAGGCTCCCTTTTGCAGACTCAGTTCTGGGTCTGGGGACATAATAATTTAACTCAGAATTTCTAAGATTGTGTGAATGTACATTTGAGGTGTTGGTAAAGATCCGCCTCAGATACGATGGGGAAAGATAATTATGGATTTTATACATTGTCACAGCCAACTGTTTAAGTCTTACATATTCTAGCCTTTCCCAGCCAAGCTCATCCAACAACACACTTGAGCGAACGTCATAGTTAGAAAAGGTGAGAATTCTAGCAGCCCTATTCTGCAGCTTTTGAAGTTTGTCTGCTAGTCCCTTATTGATATTACCCCATACGGCACCACAGTAATTAAAATATGGCATTAGCAGTGCATTGTACATATTAACTCTAGTATCAAATGGTATAAAATGACTTACACGCCTTAAGATAGCAATACCAGAGGATATTTTCTTTGAAATGGTATGAATGTGTGGGCGCCAGTTCAAAGATTCATCAATTTGAACTCCAAGGGATTTATGTTTAATTACTCTTTCTAAGGGTGTATTATTGACTTTGACTGTGAAGTCACCATTTATTTGGGATAACTTAAACTGGCTCCCTATAAGCATGTATTTAGTCTTCTTAACATTTAAAGTTAATTTGTTTGCTGACAGCCGTGACTGGATTAAATTCATATCATAATTCATTTTATGTTCAAGGACACATGGGTCCTCTGCAGATGTGGCAAGGGTAGTATCATCTGCATACATTCTGGGTTTTGAAAACAAATTACATGAAGGGAAATCATTACTATAAATAGTGAATAAGGGAGGGCCTAAAATAGACCCCTGTGGAATACCACATGTTATATTACAGAAATCAGATTGAACTCCATCAATGAACGTTTGTTGCTTTCGGTCAGATAGATAGGACTGGAACCAGTTAAGAGATTGAGAACTGACCCAAAAGAGTTTAAGCTTTCCCAGAAGGATAGCATGATCCATGGTATCAAAAGCTTTTTTCAAGTCCAGGAATATCACACCATTTAAGAGACTGTTGTCAATATTCCATAGCCATTCATTCGTAGCCTCAAGTAAAGCTGTTTCAGTGGAAAACATAGGTCTGAAGCCAGATTGTGATTCAGTTAACAAGTTATTATTATTTAAATATTCATATAATTGATTAAAAACAACTCTTTCAATTAATTTACTTACTACAGGCAGAACTGAGATAGGTCTGTATTTGTTAGGATCAGTCCTGGGGTCTTCTTTAAATATTGGCGAAACTCTAGCTCGTTTCCAAGGAAATATTCCAGTGGTAATTGACTGATTTATTATAAAAGTTAGACTGCGAGTAACTATGGGGGACGCTTCTTTCAGGAGACGTGCTGAGATGTTATCAAGACCACTGGCTTTATTACTCGGTATTTTCTGAATTAAATTGAAGACCTCCTGGTATGATACTTTTGCCAAATAAAAAATGTGTTCTGCGGGGGGTAATATAATCAGTAAAATTACTGGATGTATCTTTAATTTCAGAGGCTAAGGAAGGTCCTATTTTGGAGAAATGTGTGTTGAGTATATTACCGATTTCGATGGCGTCAGTATTTATAGTATCCCCGGTGTCCAGCTGAGTTATCTTATTAAATTTAGGTTCATTTCCAATTAGTCTATTAATTCCTTTCCAAGTATTCTTTATGTTTCTGCAGTTATCTTTGAAGAAGGCATTGTACTAGTTCATTTTAGCATTCTTAGTTTCATTATAATTAACCTTATTCTTCATGTGTTTGTAAGAAGTCCAATTGCCATCTGTTGGGAAGCTTGAGGCTAATTTTTTGAGTTTGTCTCTCTGAAACATTAGCCTTTTTAGCTCTGGAGTAATCCAGGGGGAAGAGATTCCTTTAAGTCTCTTCTTCTTTAGTGGTGCATGGCTATCAGCAATGTCTAAGAACATATGTTGCCTTATATCCCAAGCAATGTCAGGATTATGCTCCTCTTCAATCAGATGCCACGGGACCATAGATAAATCGGTTGGGAAACTGTCTGGAATACAGTTTTAACGGCATTTGCTCGTTAGTGTTTTTGGATATGATTTGGGGATACAAATCTTCCTTATTACATACACCAGACAGTGATCACTGATTCCGATATCGGCGACTCCAGAAAATTCCACGGATGATTACTTAAAAACTTATTAATAATAGATGATGTGAACTGTTATACGTGTTGGCTGGTAAATTAATTGGCTGTACTAGTAGCTATCACATTTATCTACAATTACACTTTAGGTCATCACCGATAATGTGAACCTCCATATGATATGAGTCCAATTTTTGCAATACATCTTCAAATCTGTTCATCCTTTCAGTGGTGGACCTAGGAGGCCTCTGCCAAGTGCACGCAATAGATGGTTTTGCTTTCGGTTTTGACACTTGAATACTGATCAGTTCCATGTTATCATCTGGGAGGTCAGTGAGACGCTTATAATTTATTGAGTTCCTAATATAGAGGGCCACACCACCCCCATTTCTATTTCTATCTTTCCTTTCAAGGGTATATCCAGGGATACTGACCTCACCATTTTGAATAGAGCTGTCAAGACGAGTCTCATTAATAGCTAGTATATCAACTGTCTTGGACAGCATATAGATCCTAAGCTGGTCAATATTTTTATACAAGCTGGCCAAATTACTAGAAGCAATTTTAAATCCTCTAGTTACTGGAATACCCAATTTTGGCTGTACGTGTGCGCTACTTGAAAATCTGTTAGGTAAATCTGTCGGAGTTTTTGGACGAACTTGGCTATTATTATCTAATTCAATATGGGAATTTGTAGCGGAATTATTTATATCACTATAACCAAAACAAGAGAGTGAGTTCTCTGAACTATATGTATCTAATAGTTACCTTAGCAATTTCTATTTGTAAAATTAACGGTAGTGAAATGTTATACCTATAGACTGGCAGCTTCCAATGCCCAGTCGTGCTTCCTCAGTTCATTAAAAGGAAATTTGGATGATCGGACTAAGTTTATGAGGCATACTGGTTCAATGTTGATCTCTCCACAAAAATGTTCTCCATCAAAAAGCTATAATTTAAGATATTTTGCCTGAAATCGGCAGAAAAAAGTATTATAACTTCAGCCTGGGCTAGAAAAACAATGTTCTTATTTAAAAAAAAAAAAGGGATGTAAAGTCAATAACACCGCCCATTATGTTGCCGATGCCCTCGAGATGAAGACTTCTACTTTGTGCTATTCTGGGATTTAGACAACCTCTGATGGCAATTCGTCTATATACAGAAACTTTCCAACAACAGTCGGACTCCAGTAAGCGACCGTTTAAATTGCGAAGAGTTAGCAGTCGCTGACGAGGGTCGAACTGCATGCAGGAAATCTTTTGCGAGGAGAAGTGCGGACACATCTACTTTTTGAAGAGTTTATTGTTTATTGTTTTGTTTGCCAAAAATTAAACAAATCAAATAAAATCTAATTACCTTAACTCTCATGGCGAGGAAGCCCAAGAGAAGCCACCGGGCTTATAAGGAATGGGCTCCCTCAGTTAGATAATTAGAACAAAATATTATCATAATTACACACGGGAAAATCAATGGCAGAGCTACAGTAAATCTTAAAATAAGTATATTAGATAGTCGTACTAATCATAGTTCTAGGCTAAAAAAAGCGAAATGACAAAAAGAAAAAAGAAAAACAAAAACAAAACAAAAGAAAATAAAGGAGCAAAGGGAGAAAAAAAATACATATATTACTATTTATGATAAGAGGAATCCTTTCAGCTTACAGCAAAAGGAAGCGGTACTTGTTGCATTTCGAATTTCAAAACTAAGGGAGTTAAAAAATTTAGGACCTTGGAAACTGATGGAGAATTTTCTTATATTAGTCCTGCATTGTGGTAAATAAAAATGCTCCGAACTTCTAGTGCCATAAGAATGCACCTGGCGTGTCACCAGAAACATGTTATTGAAGCTATAAGGAAGTAAGCCAGATCTGTATTGATACATAAATTTTCCTATTTGAAGTTTGTAGATACCCTCAAGATTCAGAATTTTTAAATTTTTAAATAAGGGGTCAGTGTGAGCATCGAAAGCACTCCTCGACATTATTCTTACGACCCGTTTTTGAAGTGTGATTAATCTTCTGAGGTTTGATGGGTAGGTCGATGCCCAGACGCTCACGCAGTAGAATAAGTATGGGTAGATAAGGCTAAAATAAAGCATCCGTAAGGAGGAATTATTAAGGCAAAAACTTGATTTATAAATTATACCTATGGCTTTAGACACTTTCCTAGCAACATTATGTATATGTGATTTCCATGTTAAATGTTCATCCAAAATTACACCAAGAAAAGTAGCTTCCTTAACACGGTCAATCGAATAATTACTAATATTAAAAGCTAAATCAAGTGTTTGCCTGTTTTGTCTCGGTCTGAATATGATAAAATTGGATTTCTTAACATTAATAGATAGCTTATTTGTATAAAACCAACACGTTATCTTTTTCAATTCTAAATTTACAACTTCCATAAGATAGGAAGCATCAGTATGCGAATAGAAGATTTTAGTGTCACCAGCAAATACTATCAGCTCTAAGACCTTTGACACATTACACAGATCATTTATATATACGAGAAGAGAATGTATGGCATCGAAATTTAGGCTGACAATTATTGAAATACATGCTGTTCCGACCAAAAGTTCTTTTCAAAATCCGGAGTTGCTTAGTTTATACAGAAACACAGAGATCAGACCATTATATCAGGTGGTCGCCTAGATGAGGTTAAGAACAAAGGAAAATTCTAAAATCGCCATCATAGAAAAGTTGTCGCGGTCTCTGACGATAGGTCGTCGTTTAAGCCCGGGGGAAGTTGCAACTTAAGGTCTCCGTATGGGAAAATTTTAGTGTTTTAAATAGATGGTCGCTTATTGCAGGTGGTCGCTTACTAGAAGACTCGATTTCGATTGTGAAGGAAAAGTAAGTCTTGAATTATGCCTCCATTTCTACATATTAAACCTTCAGTTGTTTCTAAACCAAGTAAAATCTCTACACGGAAGTTGAAGAAATCCAGCTGGACATGTAAATGAGATCCTTGATATTTATAGCAACACAAAATAGCTACAGTTAAAATATTCGCATTTCCTGTTTATTAACATGCAAACAGAGATGTCAATGAAGTATGTCTTGGTGATACAATGTCCTTAACCTCGGGCAGAATGGAGCTGTACATATTGGTGCTTTTAGCCTCCGTTAGTTATTTAAACAAACACGAACGAGGTGCACTTACTCGCTCTATTAAGAGTTTGCCTGTGCCAATCGCAGGATGTTGTTACGGCAACGCAAATTTAAAACCACAATCGCCACCAGTAATTTTGAATCCGCTGAAATTTCTTCTTTTTATTAATGAGCAGTTTTCGTCAATAATAGCCCAATTTCTAGCATTGAAAATTTCCGGCTTCATTTTATTGTTATTTTTTAAGCTCAGCTACCTTTTACCAGGATATGGACCCCGTACTACAATAGTTTAAACAGTCTTAACAGTTGACCACTTTCCGCAAAAACCAATTACTGAAAGGATTTAAGTTAAGAAAAATGACGTAATAAACAAACTGACTACCTGAAAATATAGAATCCTAGTGGTGGATAAGGCACCGAAATCCTTGTTCTTTCTTTGAATTCTCAGGGCTAATTCAATAACGAAATGTTTGGCGACCAGTCTAGAGAGAATTTATATCGTGGATATTGGGGTTTTTAAAAATGGTTAATCCTTAGAACCAAGAACCAAATAAAGGTTTGTGCAAATTCTGACATGTAGGAGCGGTAGTAAAGGCGCCGGATCACATTTCCTAGCCGTTCCATGTAAGGCAGACAGAAATCCGGGAGATTCTTGCTTGTTGAATCCGAACTCTGAAAAAATTTTGCTTGTGAAATTTGGAATCCTGGGCTTTGGAATTCGGAATACCGCTCGAGAAACCACAGGTAGCCCAAGCTCACTATGAGAGCCCTGAACAACATTATCCTACTTAGCTAATTAATTATTCATACAGCAAGAAAATTATAAGACGTTGTATGGAGAAATATTCTTTGCTCACTAAATTAGCAAAATGTACATTGAATATCGCTTTGAAGCTTACCTTTAGCGTCTTCTTGTTTTTCTTTGTATTCTGACTGCATTTTCACCTCCTAGATGTCATCTGTTTAAAAACTTTTTGGAAAAAGGCCTTTTTCAGTGCCTAGAGGTCTGTGGGTGCAGTCAGAATACAAAGAAAAACAAGAAGACGCTAAAGGTAAGCTTCAAAGCGATATTCAATGTACATTTTGCTAATTTAGTGAGCAAAGAATATTTCTCCATACAACGTCTTATAATTTTCTTGCTGTATGAATAATTAATTAGCTAAGTAGGATAATGTTGTTCAGGGCTCTCATAGTGAGCTTGGGCTACCTGTGGAGAAACCTGGAATCTCACTAATGATTGAAATCCAGAATAGAAGGTCCCCTCACAAAGACTGAGATTTAGTACCTGGAATCCGGAATTCATGGCGTCAATCCAGAATCGACGGACTGTCTCGGATTTCCTAGCCTGCGTCGCAGACGTAATTTAACCCCGTGTAGTAAAGTTTACAAGGCATCGCCGAAATCCTTGTTCTGGACCCCCAACGGACTACCGGAAATTACCGAATTACCGGAAATGCGTTTCAAATTTGCTTTCAACCTGATTGTTTTTTTTTTAACGGGCCAATCATGGCGCGTATTCAAATCCTGGTACACAGGTGGAGGCCTAGCTGGAACTGTTTCGCAGATGGACTTAACCAAAGTTTAGTTTCGACTGTGGCGCAGGCAAGGATTCCCTACCCTTACATGGAACGATCCTAGCCTGCCTAACAAGCGGTAATTTTGGTATGTTTTTCGCTGAGTTTCGTAAAAAAAGAGCTCAAACGAGAAAATGAAGGGGGCCCGAGGGCAAAAGGAACATCGTTTTTCCTGTGTGGCTTCTTTTCTTTTCTTTCGTGCTGTTTAAGTCTCTTTCATTACGAACCACAAGGAAAAAAAACACCGAAAACCGCATATTACGCAGTTTACCACAGTTCCTTAATGGAAAAAAGTAATTATTCAACATAACTAATTAATTGATCTTAGTGACGATGAAATTCAAATTTACCCCTACTAAGAGACTTCCCCGAGGACCGAGTTTTCTGACTAGTGTTTTCTAGTAAGAGTTTTAAAGAACGTTTCGATGAACCGTAAAAATTCTGCCGCTTCGGCACGTCTTCACGTTTGGTTGTTTTTTTTTTTTTAATTTGTTTATTATTTTATTTTCTTCTATTTTATTACTATTTTTTGGCAAAATATACTTTCTTTTTGCTGAAAATTTAAAAAGCACCCAGCCTGGAAGAAGCGCTCACTCTCTGTCAGGGCCAAAAATTCAATAAGCGCTCAGGCCGCTTGATCGAATCAACACGGTAAGTTGGGAAGTGAAGTTTGACCGTCTTGTTTCAAAAGTCTCAGTTAATTTCTTGAACTATCTACGTTGACTAACCTTTCTAAAACTAAATCATTGGATATCATTTGAAATTTTACCTAGAAAAATCCATCGGGCTTATGTATGATGGACACCACAAAAATGGGCTAGGAGAAGGGTGGCCTTAATCAGGACTCACGTTAACGGATGTCAATATGCCTTCCTTTGTGCAGTCCATGTGTGACCGTTCGCCCTGTAAGAACACTGGAAAATGCATTCCCTTGTACCAGAGAAATGGATATAAGTGCATCTGCATGAAAGGATTCACGGGAAGAAACTGCGAAACGGGTAAGAAATGCTTAGAATACTTTTTGTTATTTTCGTTGTTTTGCTGTCCATACTACATATCGTTGATATCAATGAATTGTTGTATTGCACACACTGATAAAAAAAATCATATCTCCTCCATATGTAAACGAGTATAAGAGCATAAGAACATTCCCTGTTTAACAACGGATAGTGCAACGACCAAATCAATGCATTCAACTGCAGTTGCCCGCCAGGATTTGCCGGGAATCGGTGTGAGATTGGTTAGAACAGTCTTTCAGCTGTAATTTCCCATGCTCTATTATAGACAGGCTTCCTTGTTTTGATGCGTCTTTTGATATTATTCTGTTACAGACATAAACGAGTGTAGGAGCAACCCTTGTCTTAACAACGGAACATGCAAAGACCGAATCAACGGATTCAACTGCAGTTGTCCAGCTGGATATGCTGGGAAACGATGTGAAATAGGTGGGGAAAAAGAGTGGTAAATGATAGAACTGACAAATAATTTTTGTGGATATACTGTATAACGTCTAACTCATGGAAATGATGAACCAGCAAGTTGCGTGAATGCTGACCTGATTGGATAAAGTTACGCGGGAGTTACGTCACTTGCCGCAAAACAAGTTTCTCATGGGCCGGTAAATTGCGCAAAATACATGTGCAGATTTTGTTGTAAAAAGTAGAACTATTCTTTTCTTTCTATAACAACCTTTTTGCAGCCTGCAACAACCTGATTTGTTGCAACATAGGTTTAATTCGTGGGTGGTAAAACGCCCAACATCGCTATTCAAATCGTTTGGCAGCAATGTTGCAAAAGAAGAAAGCGAATTACACCTGCCCGTTTTAACTTACCTTAAAGGCGTTGCTTGATTGTTATGTTCTTTTCTTGATGAACATTTTTTTTTCTTTTTCCGCGATACTCTCTCACGGCCTCCAATTAATTTTGTGAACTTTGTTCAAGAACCATGTTTAAACTCTGCGAGAAAAGTCACTGATTTGAAAACATCTTTCTCCTTTATTCACTTACCATCACATTTCCATCATTGCGCCCAAACACACATATATCGACATTCCGATCCTGTTTTAGAAGCTTTCCACAAGTCTCTTGTAGCTCGGTGGTAGAGCATCTGGACTAGTAACCACAAGGTCATAGGTTGAAATCCTACTGGGAGAACTCAGGTTTTTTCCTCCGAGCCGCTTGCCTGTGTCACTGACTGAAAAATATGTTTCTCACAGAGTTTTGTTAGAAGAGAATTCAAATCCCTGGCTAATTCCTCGGCATGATAAACGTCGAGAAGTGTGGCATTGTTAGTAGGGACTTTAAGATCCAACACCGCGACAGCAACGAGAACGTCGCTTAAGAAAGCGAGAGTCTTTATCGCGATTATCCCTACCAACTTACCTTGTCAAATGTAGACGAACCCTACTGATGTTGAATTCCAAGCGACCATATCCAAGTCCAGAAAGAGAAATAAAATTTCGTCGTTGTTTGTTTATGTTCTCCATAAAACGCGAAATTTTGGCAATTTCAAGTCATAGTCGTGCAAAAATGGAATATAAATGTACAAAAAAGTGTGATGCACGTGCGAAGCTGTTGTTTTGCTAATAGAACCTATTGCTTTTTTTTTTTTGACGTTCTCGTAACAGTCGCGTCGTTGGATCGTAAAGTCCGTAGTTTCACAAAGCACTCCGAGTCTTAAAAATACAAACCTTTTGTGGACTATGACTGTTGTACTTTAATGTTCTTGAAGTTTGAGGACTTTAAGACTTGCAAAAAACAATTGTAAAGCTAGTAGGTTAACTATAACCCGTAAAAGGTGTTTACACAACTGAAAACATCTTAGTTAAAACGACTTCCAAAATCAGTGTACTATAATGATAAATGGCCGAATCTTCTGACTTTTCTCCTATGAAAAGATCTGAGGCTACCATCTCTGATAGGTTGTTTGGTACAGTCAAACCTACAAGTAACGGCCACGTGACCGTTGTAGAGGGGGTTGTTTTATACTTGAGGAACGTCCACCAGGATGATAAAAGTGAAGGAAGGTTGCCGTTACTAGAGGTTCGATTGAATTCGAGAGGGCGTAATTACCGGTTTTTATGTTCAAGAGTCATTACCCGTTTGGACGAACTTGGGAAAACATTTTTAGTTCGTTTGGTTATGCGTCTATAGTATAACGACCGGCAGAAGTTGAGGCATGCGTCTACACGAACTATTCTTTATTGGGTCTTAAACGAAGCACTACGAAAGGTCGTTGTCTGAACGCATAATGCGTGTGGGTGTTAAAGGATTGGCAACAAATGAAGCACGTGTTAAAACAAATAAAACAAAAACTATAGTGCCCATTCTTTTATATTTTGCCGCGCGCAAGATCTCGCATTGATCGTCTCTCGTAGTTCTTAACACTAACCAGACACTTGAGATAAAAGACGATTTATCCGTACGGGACGGATAATGTTTTCTAACCTGGTCGCAGGTTAATTTTGATCAAGGCTAAATTTTGCGAAGATCTTACTTTCAGTAATACTCTTTGAGTCGTTACGTCTGTGGAAGGTCAGAATCTGTTTTCTGTCTGCCCTGGGCTTCACTTGCATTTTTTCCATGCCAAGTTTTCCTAGCTTATGGAAGGTTATCTTCAGAATAGCTGTCTCATTTCATTTAACTAGTATGAACAAGGATTCAGGTCTGGGTCAAATTCCCACAACTTTCTTTTTTGACTAAATACTGATTTGAAAGTGTTTGCCGTCAATTTTGTAACATCACCCTGCACTGGCAATGCCATGTGCGTTCTTTATTCTGGATTTGATTTTTCCCGCAAATGTTCGCATAGACAGGGTCATCACGACTTACCATGTGGACTTCCTTTAGTGGACTGCGTATACTTTGAAAGTAATTTATCCTTGGAAAAAAATTGTCACTCATCTCTGCCGTATGATTCACGAACGCAGGTTGGCTAGAGGATGGCTGCACCAGATATAAACGCTTGGGAAACCAACTCATATTTTATCATTCACCCTTAGATATTATCTCGAGTGTGGTAACACGGTTTCTTTCGCCTGCAATTGGGAATAACAGCAACTGGGCGCTGTGTTGGCAGGCCTCCACTCATGGCTGGGCTGCCAGTACCTTTCACAACAAATGCGATGGGAAACGTCACACGATTACAATCATCAAAAAAGACCAGTACGTGTTCGGAGGATACACGAATATTCCTTGGAGTAAGTAAAACGTCCTTTTTGTCACTGAAAATGGGAATAAGGCACTTTGCTTGCATAGTGCGTTTGTGGCTTGTGGTCTATAGTCACTTTACTTCTAATCTAATGCCACAAAATAATTAATGCCAAAAACTTACCTTTCCTTTTTGCTGCCTACAGAAGTTTCTACCTGATTCTTCCCCTCTTTAAGATGCCCTGAACCAGCAAAAATACACTGCTCCTTCTCCGCCTATTTGTGGCAATAACAAATGCGCGATTGCGTTACATCACTTGAATGACGATAACCTTATATCTTTGGCTAATCTCGACGTCGCATAAAACTCAGCGAGAAAAAGTTTAGTGAGTGACAAAGATGAATGTGATACACTCACTGACAATTTTTTTAAACAGGCTGAGAAAGACGGTCTTTCCTATAAATTTCTGTTACAGCTTCATATAAGTAAAGAATACTTCGATTTATCAACGTTAATTGTTTGGACTAACTAGAGCACGAGTCTTTTTGGTTTTTTGTTATGTATTAATAAAAGTTAAAGTTAAGTTTACGAGACATTATTTTTAGTATTTCTGGCAGCTCATAGCTCTGAGATTCGAGGGAAACAAAGTTAACTGTTACCCGAGGGACCAGTCTTTAAGTGATTTGTTATATAGCGCACGAAGAAGAACATTTTTTCGTGTACGAATTTATGAAAATAAATCTTGCGAGCGGTCAACATTCGCGGGTAACAGTGCACTGTTACCCCCTGACGTCATAGATTTTACAATGTTGCCCGCTCAGAGTTTTTGGCGTGAAACAGTTTCATTGTTAGATGTCATGTGACCTCGAAGTAAACAATGAGAGCTCGCGCTGTTGGTAAAAAAATTCCAGCTATATAACAACAGTCATAATTCTCTGCTGAAATTTTATATTATTTTTTTTTTTCCATTGAGCATCAGTCATCAAGACAACGATGTTATATGTTTAATTCAACAAGAAAGAAAAGTGGTGAGACACAATGACTCATCACCACGTTTACTCTTGACTTTAGGGCTTTGTCCTAACAATTGGATCCATCTACAAGGTTCATGCTACAGAGTCCCGTCAAAGAGTTTGAGCTGGACCGCTGCAAAATCTGACTGTGAAGCTCAGGGGGCTAAGCTCGCCATAGTGACATCACAAGCCGAACAACAAGCACTAGTCTCGAAAATATCACAAAATGTATGGATTGGTTTGGGGAGGGACCCCAATGTCCATTCACGTTGGTTGTGGGTTGATGGATCAATAGCGACATATACTCACTGGTCTCCTGGAGAACCCAACGACGCTGGAGGTGTTGAGGATTGCGCACATATGTTTCCTCCTGCAGGAAAATGGAATGATCTAGCATGTTCCGGCAGTCTTAAATACCTTTGTGAAACCACTGGTAGGCAGCACCACGATTGTGTGCTTAATATTGTACTAATTATTATGGTATATCCAGTGTATGGCTGCAGCTGGGAAGCATCACAATGTAAAGCTTGATGAATTACTCTTACTATGAATGGTTGACGTGTATATAAATTTTAAAAGAGAAGCCTTTGACATTTCCCTGGATTTTATCCTTGCATTTAATATCAATCACCGCTTCCCCTCCCCACCACCCCCCCCCCACAAAAAAAAAAGGGGGAGGTGAACATTATACCTAACATTAGGGTGATAGTTGTTTTACTATTTCCGAATCAGTTTAAAAACGAGAGCAACTTTTGCAAATAAAAGATTTCACTTTCTAAACCAAAATTTATCACTTTTTTGGTATTTGTCGGTACAGATGCCTTATTTTTCGCTTAAATATCGCCTTCAGGAACTGTCGGGAAACGGAACGCGTATTGACTCCTACCCTATACAGTGAGTTATTAGGAAGCTTAAGCAACAAGGACGGCGATGGCTACGAAAACGTCACTTATAAAGTGAATTCGCGCTGCTTCAAACTTATCGCCCTTATTCCATCTCGTTGAATTCGTCAAATGTTGCCAGATTTTTCTGGAGTTGAATGCTAAAAGACTGCATCGAACTTCAGGAAAAGAAAGAGAAAGTCGTTGTCTTGTGTTCAAGTCCTCCACAAAACGAGAAATTAGGCACTTTCATGTTGTAGTCGTACAGTTACCTCAAACAAATGTACAAAAAGCGTTATGCACTTGCAAAGTTGTTGTTTTGTTAATCTAAACCTATTGCTTTTTTGCTGTTCTCGTTGCCGTCGCCGTCGTCGTTGCTTAAGCTTCCTAATAGCCAAGAGTACTTTAAGTTACCCAAAAATTGCTATTCACTCATTTGTTAAGGGGACTATGTCACGTTATTTGCTATGTTTTTGTTTTTGTTTGTTTTTGTTTTGTTTTGAATTGGAAAATTAGTACATGTAATCCCATTGTGTTATTTGAGACTAACTTTAGGCATTGCAACTGTTCCTTGTGGTCTGTTCAGTGCAATTATCGATGACAACGATAGACATCAGATTGAAACTTGGAAAAGTCGTGCCAACTTTTAATGTTATGACTACAAAAATCCCACCAAATTTATTATCGGTTAGTGCTCCCTGATGAAATTTGTTTGATATCTTCTTCATAACTCGAAAGGACTATTTTGTGTAATGAGTAAACGCACAATTCAATTCTTGACTCAGATTGACCTAAAACATCAATATCCCTGTGACGTATCCCCTTCATTTATAAAAAACTGAATCATTAGTAGTGCAATTCAAAGTGGACAGACTGCAAATTATAGTAGTTGCTAAAAAACATATATCTACGTGTCGCTACGTGAGCTTTGCTCAGCGATCATGGTATTTAAGCAAATAATTATACCATGCTCTCCAAATACGGTAACTGTACGCGACTGTACGCGACTGTACGCGTCTGCTCAAAATTAAAAAAAAAAAACAACCTGAAAATCGGTTGTTTTTACCAAAAAGTCGGAAAGAATTCTCGATATTTTGTGGGCGTTTTTAATAAAAAAATTATTCCACTCGCGTTTGTTGGATATGAGATGATTATAGCCAACTCGATATTCAACGCGCTCTCGTGGAATAATTGTTAAATTTTCTATAGGGGGGTACGTCACGTTTCCTTTTGTTATTGCTTTTCAGCGTTCGTGGATGGATACGATTCGACTTCCAAGTCGTTTATCTTCTCTCTCTTGGATAAAGAAGGGCTTGGACCATTTAAAAGCATGGTGACGAATACATCTTTTGCAATTTACCGTGAGCCAGGTTACGGTCCGACATTTGGTGGGGGGCATGACATATACATCGCTGATAATGCCAATCAGAATGCTAATTCCTACACTAATTTTGGCAGCTCTTACTCTCTTCCAAATGAAGTTGCAGACCGTTATACAATCCTGGCTGGAGCCCGTTACTTCTCACCTGACGAAGTTGAGGTATTTTACCTCACTTGAGTTCATAGTTAAAGGAGCTATGTCTCGATTTTTTTGCATTATGTTAAAAGGCCTAAAGACACATTGGAATAACAGGGGAAAAGAGAAATAATTTCTCAGTTTTATTCAAAATTACTCTACTAATATCCCTAAGTTTCTCAACTTTAAGTGAATGGCTTTGGCTTCCGATGGCAAGTATGGAAACAGATTCAAAGTTGAATAAAACGGGCCAACTTTTTTTCAATTTTATTCCAGTGTTGTCAAAGGTTGACCATAAACAAATCAAAATTAGTTTTTCTTTCGGTAGAAATCATTTGAGTTATTTCTTTTACAGTTCTGATAAGTGGGATAAGAGATAATATAACTGAGAATACTTAGTAATAATTTCAGCTCAGCTTTGACTCTCTAAACAAAGCGGAAATAGCTATGTTATAACGCCTTTAACCTTTTGATTTTCGTGAGCAGAAACCGTTTAAATCAACGAAAAAAAATACCACAACAACAAAGTGTTGCGGAATTCTTATTACCCCGCTCGCTGGTTCAAACAAATCACATTGAAATAAGTATACATGTAAAGACGAGTTCTACGTTAACATCGATCTTGGCTCCCAGAGAATAGATATCTTTGCGTACGCGATCAGCTGATCGCTGATCTTTAAAGGACAATACTATGTAAACAGATGGGTCTACTAAAGGCACGGTGTGTATTTCTTTATCTGGTTCCTGGCTTAACGTATTTGTAGTGGAATCGACCAATGTTTTGGGATAGCGCAGCTTTGAAAACATGGTGCGTAACTTGTTGCATTCTTTTGCAAAACCCTCTTTGGTTGAAGATAGACGGTACGCACGGTTAACCATTGTGTAAAACCCGTCTTTACAAGCAGAAAACTGTCACAAACCCCGAGTGTTAGGAAAACAAGCCCCCGATCGTCAACACTCAATGCGTTGTATACTTATTTAAATGTGATTTGTGCGATGCAAATTATGTCGGGTACACTGCCAGACACTTACATCAACGCATAAGTGAACACCGTTTTTCAGCCATCGGGAAACACCTTGAAACACAGCACGGCAACAACAGAACAAAGACCGACCATCTTTTCAAAGTTCTGAGGAAATGTAACAGCAAGTTTGATTGCTTAGTCTACAAGATGTTATAAAGGACATCAAGCCTTCTCTTAACACTCAAGCCGACTCCATTCACGCCAAACTATTTACGCGACACTTTCGTACATTTGTTTTTTTGTCTCTTATTGTGTTTCTTACCTTGGGAATTATACCCATTGGACCCGCAAATATTTTATGTATTGTTTAAAATTCTATATATTCGTTTTACACCTTATACTTTTTCACTTTTGAACTTGATAATGGCGTAACGTAGCGCCGAAACGTCGTTCACTTTTTAAAGTGTATTTTAGATGTATTTTAAAAATCGTTTAGCGTTTAACTTTTTGATCAAATTAGTACAAAATCGCACGTTCTTTCGCCTTATTTAGTCTAAGAAAATGCATGCAGTTACTTCTTTTTTTATCGTAAATATACTCAGACTTTGTCTACATTATTGTGAAATCTAATGTCACGAAATCTAACTTCTTTGCGCTACAAATGTCAGTTTCGTATTAATATTAAATCACAAAATACTCAAGTTAAGCATCACCTATTTCTTCCCCGACATAATGCATTTTGCGTGGGTTATTGAAACCGTTTAATATAACTTAGTAGCCGTGGAGTTTTATCATTGGACAGTAATCCAGACCCCTTAAACAAGTGGTTTTTTTTTTTTTAAAGAAGATAAAGTTTGTCTGTCTTGATCATTCTATGAAATTGCTCTCGATGAAAGATGATCAGGATAGCAGCGATTGGAAAACTGAAAATGGTCTAGAACCGGTTTTTCTTATGGCTAAACTGCGTTTAAATAACGGGTTGAAAAGCATAGATAAAGTTCTCAGTAATTAACACCCGCTAATAAGAACCTACATTTTTAGAGTTCTGGCATAAAATTTCCATTTATTTTGGGGTAGTTATCGGCAATTTAAAGCTAGATTCTTAATTCCTATGAAGGCCTAGGGGATAAAGTTGTTGAATAACCGAGAAAAAAAAGAAACTTGAGTTTGGTCCTTAAATATGTAGTATTTATTCACAACTGTACATTATATATTTCAAACCTCCTTTATCTGTGCTTTTTACAACCCTTTTTCGTTGCAGGAATTACAGATGAAAAATTAATTTTACTTAGCAGGATCATCGATCCAAGTAAACTGTGTCAGTAAAACAACAGCAGTTTTTAAATAGGAAAACTTGTAAGAGTTAACCACCTTTAAAGGGCTTCTTTTTCTCTATATATGTTTACTTTTTCAGAAAAACGTTGTAATAAAAATGGCACTTTCTACAATCACCAAAACGTTAGTTTGTAGTTCTTGAGACAATCCCTGCATTACTTTGATATAATTGTTTCATTCATCTGGACATTCCTGATGATCTCGCAGTTTCCTTACGCTGGGAATGCAACCATACCTATTAGTGGTCAGAGCCAATTCTAATTAGCTACAAATTCGCGCATGTCATTTCGCAGCGCGCCATAGGAAAGAGTGCCCTCGTTATTAATACGGTAAACGAGGCCGATCAAACGCTCTCCAAAATGCTTCAATTGGCCATCTCCACTTAAAAAGGGCTACGCCACACTATTTCACCATCGTTTTTCAATCATTTTTTTTCGGTATCCTCTCTGGTAACGGTATAGATCGGTTTCACTATCACGCAATAAACACGGCACATAAACTGAAACCGTCCAGTGGAAGAAGCCAAGAAAATGAATGTTATAAAAGACTAATTTATGAACAATTTGTCCAAGTCTCAGGTCTTTGTGACCCACAGTTTCTCGAGTTATTTGCCTTAACGTTTCACGCATCTTTGTAGACCTTTGTATGGAGACGCCATATTGGTGTAAAGTTTTGGTACATCAATATGGCCGGCGGAAATCAACAAACACATCTGGAGTTCACTTTTTCTATAAAAGCTCTTTCTTTTCACTCGAGAACTAGCACACGAGCGCAGAAGCATATCTTCTAAAACTTGAAATGGTTATACTCACTGCTGAAAATCAAAAGGAGAGACTTTTTTTTTTCAACGAGACAGTATTCATATATTGGTGTCACACACTGAGAAAACTCGAAAGTTCAAATGGCTGTATTTTCGAAACGAAACATGCTACGGGACTGGAAACTTGTACAAAGATATATTTTTTTGTTTATCTTCAACCCATTGTAAATAGGAATACGTAAATTCTCGCTTTATGACTTTACAATTTGATGACGTCACTGTGAAAACCATGTGCACTTGAAATTGATTTTTTAAAATTTCCTTTTCTTATTTTTGTGTTTATTTTTCGTTTTTTTTGTTTGTTTATTTTCTTTGGAGCTTACCCCTATTTAAACCTACCTTTTTCATGTGTTCTTTGCCAAAATCCCAGTGCACCCCCCACCTGAACCCCTGTACATCAATAAAATTCCTTGTTAACTTGTTTATGACTCAGAACTTCTCCTCATCTTTCACATCTATGGATAACTTTAACGAAAGCTGCCTACTCAATTATACGCGTAGGTAATTTGTGCTAAGTTTATCTTATTTTGCCAAATGAGGAACTTGCTTGCTCTCTAATTAGTTTCCATTGAGAGAAATGGTTATATTATGTGTGAGATAAATTTAATCGTGTAGCAAGTTAAGGTGTCTTCCGTGGAAAACCACTACTCCAATGTGATTTGGTGTAAATCTTTTAAAAGAAATCGCAGAATTGAAATTTTGCGATTTGCTAGAAAAGACGTTATACTAAGGAATGATTAGCATAATTAAGTAAAGCCCGCTTAGAATCTCCACATTTTCGTTAAGTTCCTAATTATGCAAGGTAATTTAACCGAAACTTAGCAAGGGAAAAACATCATTAGTCGTACTGCTGATTAACCCCACACATATTTATACGAAAGTGGAAGTTCCTGTTTTATTCATATAATACTGACAAAACGAAGCTACAGTTCATTAAGCTCGATTTTTAGAACACTCCGTTAGCTGAGACTTAAAGCCTAGTAGATTATATTAGGCTCGGAGATATTTCCATCTCAGTGGTCGACGGAAAATTTGAAAAAGCAATTTATTAAGTTGAACTACGTTTACGCAATTAAACCTGTTGATAATTTGCCAGACTACGCAATGTAAGCCCACGCTAAAGTCTTGACAGGAAGATTGTTTTCGTTTTTGTCTGCAATGGACAAATTTTGATATTCTCAGGAAAGCAACCACAATTAAATTAACACTTAAAAACGTCAGTGCAAACTGTTTTTCAGTGGTACGAACACTAAGCAGAAGAATCTTAAGTGGTTCATTAATATAAATTAAATTGGGCAAATAATGAAATTATTTCGTTGAATTGGGAACAAAGTATTTGAAAGAAGTTTTTGTGCTTTAATTTAGTTTAATCACCAGAAAAAGTCTACATGGAAATACTGCTCTCTCTCTCTCTCTCTCTCTCTCTCTCTCTCTCTCTCTCTCTCTCTCTGCTTCAAATTTCATCAAATCCCCTTAGTCATTTTTAAAACAAGCCATTTGGTCTAAAATAAGGTTTTTAGACGAGTTTTCATATTATTTATTGATGGCAATTGTTTAACCTCTTTTGTGTCCGTGTAAGGTGACAGACAAACGATATAATAAGGAGATGTGGGTGCTTGTTCTAATGCATTCAATTTAAAGACTGATTCAGAAAAATGCTAAAACTTCACTTCTCGGCGTATCACGAGAAGATGAAAAAAACAGTAATTCAGAGAAACTACTTCTTCCTTCTATGGATCTTTGTCACGTTTGCATCTAATTCTGAAGGTACAAAGACTCTGTCTTTTATTTCCTTTATTGTAGTTTTTCAGTATATTATGACATGAAAAAAGAATCTCATATTTTTCCTCCCTTCTTTTAAAAAGCTTTCAGTCAAGGATCGATTGGCAACTTTTTCTACGTCAACTTCATGATAAGTGAATTTTCCTACCTGAATATCTCCAGTATTGGGCGGAATCTTATTCAAGAAGAAAACGATTGTGGCTACGCCTGTTTAGAAATTCCTTCATGTTTTTCCTACAATGTGGCTGCCTTCCCTGATGTCAACGGCAAACTTCTGTGCGAACTCCTGCCATCGGACAAGTTTAACAACTCGGACAAGTTCAACGCCAGCAAAGAGTTTCATCACTTTTATATTCCGGTAAGTCAAACTTCTAATTCATCAAAAATGTTCCTTCTCGGGAAAATAAAAAGTTTCTTCTTGTTTGTTTGTCTGATTATTTTCTTTTGACTCTCGCTAGTCTCGAAAGTTAGCATTTGTAAATGAAAATGTATCTCTTCGCTTGGAAAATATTGAATGCAGTGGATTACGTTGTGCTTCAAATGCAAAGGAATTGGCTAATGAGTTTGGATAAAAAAAAACCCTTATAAAAGTTTTACAACTAAGTTAAACCTTTCAACTCTTAATTTAAACATCTGCTGATGCCTAAACATACTTGATGAAATCGATATATTTATGTTCGAATGTCCTAAACGTTAGTGAGGGGGAAGTTGCTGACAAAGGTCTCGACTGAAATATTTTCCGACAAAAAGCGTTTAGCTTATTATTTGTTTGCATACTTGGCTTGCCTTAAAAGTTACAGAAACGTTTTAATACTCCTATTTTAGGCTAATCTTTTGCCAGCTAGACTATATCAGCACAACGCCTTGAAATTCGGTAGCATCTCTGCAAATTTCTGGGTAAATGAAACAGCGTTGACTTTCAAAACCTCACTAAAAACTCAACTGAGCAAATCCAGCGGGGAGTGCAAGAGATAAAAATGTATATTGCTTGCCGTCCTTAATTATATCGATGTCATTTAAGCATCGACATGTATGTCAAATTCGTTGCTTTTTGAATCCATGAAACAAAGCGAAAGGGAAACAAAAAAATTAAACCCAACTTTTGTAGGTTTACAGTAAGCTGAATTTAATCCACAGTTCGGCTCGTTGAAGTAGTTATAACATCATATAGTGAAGACAAGAGGCCCCGAAACTTTCTCTCTTTCTAGTGCTTTTCTTGTTCTGTTTGGACATTACTATGGCAACACAAAGTACCTAACCTGTTAACCTATGGGAACAAGCAACTGAGGGAATTCGTATCCATTAAACGTTCCTGGCAATAAATTGCCTTGTCGAAACAATTTTTATTGTATCGAGGTCTTCGTTCTTTTTCACAAAAGCGAGCTACTTTGATCCTCATGTTTGGCTGATTCAATGGGATATTGCCATAGCAACGCACATTTAAAGATAGGACTGCCACCTGTAACTGATGAACCTTTCGTGTTTTGTTATTATGAAAAAAGCAGCTTTTGTTATTGTGTCACAAGAAATACATGTTACTAGCGGTAGAAGTGCTACACTATGAAAAAGCAAGCATCAAATTTTCTAAAAAACGGAGACAATAATTAAGGGACTTATCAAAGCCTGCTTTACGTTTGTTAGAGCAGCGCAAAATTCCCGTTACTTGATCTCATTTTATTATGTCCAATTTTCTTTTTACCTTTTTTTTCTTCGTCCTTATTTCGAGAAACACCTCGATTTTTGTAGCCTGTTATATAGGTTCCGAGATAGTAGTGCAGCGGGAGCAGGGACAGAGGGGACCATTTTTTTTCCACCGCTATCCCCTTTCCTAGATCGCGTGCGTCTTATTTTTAAATAGGTTTGGTCCTTTTATCTTACCGAGACGTCCCTACTCTGAGATCCTACTCAGTATATCCGTAAGTTCAACATGGATGATTGAAAACAAGCTTAAAATTTCGAATTAATTAGGTTTGCACAAAATCTAGTTATTAGTAGATTTCTTGATGAGTTAGTACACAACTTACAATTTGTTACCCCCACTTTTTAAAACAACTTAACCAAATTTTAACAGTATTTAATTTTTTTTTAAGAAAATAAGACAAAAAGTAAGCATGTTCAACAGTTAAGCACTCGTACTTTTTGTTCACTTATTATTGGCTGCATATCTCCTCCTGATAAAAATGTTAACATTCTTTCATTTAGTACTTCTAAAGAAACTGTGTTCAGCCTCCTTAAAAGCACACTGAAAGTCAGGACGAAAGAATTGTGCCCGAAAAAGGCGTTTTAATTCTTACTGCAAGAAAATGCAATTTAATTGGACAAATAAATTTACAAAGTATATTAGAAATATAAGATGGAATTTCATTAGAATTCATAGAAAAATGGAGAAAAAAATGAATTTAAAAGGTATCCTGACCAGATACGAAAGAAGCCAAGCAGTGGCTCTTAATGCCATCGTCAGGCTACTCGCCGATATAATTATATCTGCAGCCTGTTCATCCTACAAAAGCTGAGTCAGAAGAATGCATTGACCAGAAGCAACTAGCTGAGAATACAGGCTGTGAACTCACTCACTGCGGCAATTAACGCAGGCATTAGATATAGCTTCTGTTTTCGTTCAGCAAAACCAGCCGGCGGCTCCCTGAAATAATTTGATGAACAAGCGAGTTAAATTTATATAATTACACCAGCTTATTGCATGATTTTAGTTTGTAACTGCGCTAAAATGAAATTCAAATTTCAAATTATCTGCAATCATCATAGGTGCCGAGAAAGGAGAATCCTGATGATTTTTGAAAGTGTTCACCGCTAAGATGTTTTATTTAGTTATGTATTTATTTTTCATTCAGTCATTCCGTTCGCTTAGACACAGATATGACTAATGACAGCAGTTTGCTAGCCTGAAAAGTGGAAGTGCCTTGTGTTTTCTCACTTGTAGTAACAAAATAAAGTCCGGAAGATTCATCGATATTTTGTGGGCATTTTTACTAAATAAAACAATTATTCAACTCGCACTTGTTCCATGGAGATAATATAGCCAACCCATACCCAACAACTCGCAGGTGGAATAATTGTGTTACTTAATGCTACATGTAACTAAAACTTGGGGCTCAAGTTGGTCGACGAAACTCAAAAGCTGAATTTGCCGTAAATTCAGCATACGTCTAATATGGATAAATGATATGCGTCACGTTACTGGATTATGTTTTGACTTTGTCATGAAATGGTCTTTACTTACAGCAGTATCCTTTCCTTTGTGTAGTCTCCTTGTGACAGTTCTCCCTGTAAGAACACAGGAAAATGCATTTCGCTGTACCAGGAAAATGGATATAAGTGTATCTGCGTGGAAGGATTCACCGGGAAAGACTGCGAAACGAGTAAGGAATACTGAGTTGAAACAATGTTGCCACTAACTATAATACAATCACAGGTGACACAGTTTTAACGTACTTTGCAAGTGGGAACGGTAATCAGCATCAAGCTGATGTTAGGTATTATATTATTGACTTTTACTTCTCTGAGCTCACTACAATAAAAAAATATCTAACTGAGAAGATTTAAAAACTACCTTAAAAGAAAAGTCGACCAATAAGTATCACGCTGAACTTTTACTTTTCCTTATAGTTGCCCAACCACAAATTTCAATTTCTCCGCTTGATCGATAAAGTGACTTATTTATAGACACGTTTCTCCATCAACCTCTAGAACAACATTTACATTTACTAGCTGTGTTTTGACTCTTGCTGAAGTCTAATGTAGCTTAGCTGAAAGGTACAAATAATTTTTTATTTTTATTTTATATCTTTCATCTTCTCTCCTGCAGATATAAATGACTGTGTCAATATTACTTGTTTGAACAACGGAACTTGCATCGACCTAATCAATGGCTTCAACTGCAGTTGCCCTCCAGGATTTGCCGGCAACCGATGCGAAATTGGTTAGATACGTGTTGCTGCTATTTGCATTGCATTTCCGCCAAAACGCAACATGCTGTGTATCCGTTTAAACACCCAATGTTGGACGCTGTTGAATGCGGATGGCTGATAAATATGGCTCAATTTTAAATCCTACATGTGAATGATGTTATACCAACATAAGTTTTTTCTCGGGCGGCTCTAGGGTCCACCGGATATATGTTTTGCAATTTTATTGACCTCGAATTCCTCTTGGTCCATGAAAATGCCGAAAAAAAACTTGGCCAATAATATTAACGTATTTATCTTGGCTGAACAACTTTTTTCCTTTAGATATAAACGAATGTGAGAACAGTCCTTGTTTTAACAACGGAACATGCACTGACCGAAGCAACGGATTCAACTGCAGTTGTCCACCAGGATTTTCGGGCAATCGATGTGAAATTGGTGAGCTGTGTTTAGCTGTTATTTTTATTGTTTATCAGCTTGAAAATCTATACACTAACTGACGGTGTTGGTCTTGCATGTTCATTTAATGTTGTGTTTTTGAAGAAGAGATCTATTAGCATTTATATACACGTTTCTCCATCAACCTCTAGAACAACATTTACATTTACTAGCTGTGTTTTGACTCTTGCTGAAGTCTAATGTAGCTTAGCTGAAAGGTACAAATAATTTTTTTTTTTAATTTAATATCTTTCATCTTCTCTCCTGCAGATATAAATGACTGTGTCAATATTACTTGTTTGAACAACGGAACTTGCATCGACCTAATCAATGGCTTCAACTGCAGTTGCCCTCCAGGATTTGCCGGCAACCGATGCGAAATTGGTTAGATACGTGTTGCTGCTATTTGCATTGCATTTCCGCCAAAACGCAACATGCTGTGTATCCGTTTAAACACCCAATGTTGGACGCTGTTGAATGCGGATGGCTGATAAATATGGCTCAATTTTAAATCCTACATGTGAATGATGTTATACCAACATAAGTTTTTTCTCGGGCGGCTCTAGGGTCCACCGGATATATGTTTTGCAATTTTATTGACCTCGAATTCCTCTTGGTCCATGAAAATGTCGAAAAAAAACTTGGCCAATAATATTAACGTATTTATCTTGGCTGAACAACTTTTTTCCTTTAGATATAAACGAATGTGAGAACAGTCCTTGTTTTAACAACGGAACATGCACTGACCGAAGCAACGGATTCAACTGCAGTTGTCCACCAGGATTTTCGGGCAATCGATGTGAAATTGGTGAGCTGTGTTTAGCTGTTATTTTTATTGTTTATCAGCTTGAAAATCTATACACTAACTGACGGTGTTGGTCTTGCATGTTCATTTAATGTTGTGTTTTTGAAGAGGAGATCTATTAGCATTTATATTTTTCTTCCCCAACTTCCAATTCGTTGAGGTTTATACAGCTAGTAAAGAACCCTCCGTATATAAAAGTGGGTTTTTGTTTCTTTTTTTGTTGCAATTTATCTGTGATTATTGTTTTCTTTAGATACAAACGAGTGTGAGAGCAGACCCTGTTTAAACAACGGAACTTGCACTGACCGAATCAATGCATTCAACTGCAGTTGCCCGCCTGGATTTTCTGGCAATCGATGTGAAATTGGTTAGTATAGTTACCCTATAATGACCTCGTAAGGTTAAGACGTGATCAAGTGTGAACGCCCATCCCTCACTTCAGAAACTTCAAAGAAAATGGGTACAACCTTTGGGATCAGTGATTTCTGGGATCGTTTGGGTGGGCAAGAGTTATATATGATTGGTCGATGGTATTCAAGGCAACCATTAACCAATCATAAACAACGCTTGTCCACCAAACGATCCCAGAAATCGTTAGACCAAGAGCTGGTAGCCATTGCCCTTATAGTTTCTGTTATAGGAAATTACATCAGTGTGAAAGCAGCCCATAATTGTCTCACGCAAGGTGAAATTTACGTAAAGCCCAGTGCAAATGGACGCAGCATTGTTGGATGTTACATGTTAAAATAGCGTCCGTTTGCACACCCTGTTGTATGTCGTTGCGTGTGGTTGGGAGTCATTGCACAAAGTTTGAAACCGGTCAAACTATATGCCCCGTGCAAACAGACGCAATATTGCTGGCCAGCTCCTCCCAACATTGTTGGGAGTTGTTGCGTCCATTTGCAGGTAGCTGTTTGAACAACGGAAATTGCACTGACCGAATCAATCCATTCAACTGCAGCTGCCCTCCAGGATTTTCCGGGAATCGATGTGAAATTGGTCAGAGCATCAGTTTTAGCTAGCTACAATTTTGCAATTTCTTAACCTTAATTATAGAAGGACGTCCTAATTTTGACGCGTGCTTTGATATCATTCTCTTACAGACATTGTTTTGTGTTTAAACCTTTATTCAGCGATTTATTAGTTCGTACCCTGGTTGGCAGGTTACCCCTCTGTCAAACTCCTCCAGTGTTATCTTCTAGTACATCTTCCAAACAGCTATTTCCTTATAGAGGATCTAGCCTGATTTCATTTGTATTGCCAAAGATTACCAGTGTGATTGACTAAATGTTTATCGGCGACGTCAAGTGCATTCATTATTCTGGATTGTAGTTTCTTCTGCAAGCTAGTGCTTATCTTAAAAGTTTTCAACTCAAAATTATGTACCTCGTCCTCCTTTTGAGTTAGCTTGATGGACGTCCTTTTGTCGCCTGCACATCCTTTCGAAGAAACTTATCCCTGAAAAATCGCCACACGTCTTCCCGTATGTTTCGTGCACGCAGATGGCTTGAGAATGTCCCCAGCAAATTTACACGACTGTGCAACCAATCAGTTCCATTTTTCTCTTCCACCCTTAGATGTTATCTCAACTGTGGTAACACAGTTTCTTTCGCCTTCGATTGGGAATGACAGCAACTGGGCGCTGTGTTGGCAGGCCTCCACTCATGGCTGGGCTGGCACTACTTTCCACAGCAGATGTGATGGGAAAAGCCACACAATTACGGTCATCAGAAAAGACCCGTATGTGTTTGGCGGATACACCGATATTCCTTGGCGTAAGTAACTTTTTCGCGCGGGGGAAAAGCAATAAAAGGGGCGAAGTCCTCAAAATTAAAATTACACCCCTAAAGAAACCAAACTGCTGTGGCTTAGGCGCTATTTGACTTAAAATAAAACCAGCAACCAATTCCAGAACCCATCAAGAGCTCTAATGGTATGAATCGCCTTGTGCGAAATATATTAAAATTGAATGAATTATTCGACACAAAAAGGCGGCCAGTTTAGTTGTCCTTTACACAGTTAAGGCTGCTCGCAGTCCCTCATTTCTGTTTAATATCAGTAGAGTTTTTATAACTGCGAGCTCAATAGACAAAAATGGCTCGTTTTTATGACGCTTTTTTTCTTCCGGATCGGGTATATGTGTTAGCGCCACCTTTGCCGAACAAGTAAAGAAAGAGGTACTCGCAGTCTAGTTTTCTTTTGATATTTTTTTACCCGCTGTTCTAAGCGATAACTGTATGGATAAAAATATTATAGGTTCTCCGTCCTGGACACGCTATAATGCGACCAAAATCTGCAATTTGCAATTCTTAGCGAGACGAGATGCATCCTCTCTCCTGGTCGTTATGTTTGCATTTTTGTTTTGTTTGTTTTTGTTTGTTTGTTTGTTATTGTTTTTTTTCTTTTTAGCCCTTTTGTGTTAATTGATTAAAAAAAAAGAATTTGCAAAAAAAAAAAAAAAGTTACAAAAGATTTTAACGTTTATTCCACTCTTTGCATGAATTTTTAAAGAGTCATCGGTTAACAGTTAACAACACCCTTTGAAGGAATCTGGATCGAATTAACTTTAGCGGAGACTTCTGGAACTGTTACTAGGGATAGTATCGATCCCAGAAACAATTGCGGGACGCATTTCGTCTCTAGTTCCCTTCTTGTTTCTAATGTGGCGAAATTAAGTTTGCTAAGCAAAATTTTTCACTGCGGGTTCACAGCGTCCACGTATAACTGTTCCATTGGCGTAGCTTGTAAACCGATGAGGAGATAGCCGGTGGTAATATAATTAACAAAACCTGGCTTTCGGATCATGTTTACCCGCAAAGTCAACAAAACAATAAGACGTCAAACGTACAGCTAAACCGCAGATAGAATGATATAGGAGGTGGTTGGAGGGGCAAATCCGGGGAATAGTCCCTTATATGGCCTACTGTTGGTTTTCACATGATGTCACTAAAATTCCAACTACGAAACTATCGATAGAACCGATATGTTACTTTCACGACGTATCAGAGCAGCTGAAAACTAATTTTCATACGAATTTTGGCTTCAAAAGGGATCTTGGTTTTGTGATAGATTACACTTGAATTTCTAAGCTTATGGGTGACGCGGCATTTACATGACGGCCAAGAGAGCTGTCATGTAGGTTAAAGAAATTACTTCTTTCAGGGAAAGCGTTCTACTTCAATGTTTATGAGTTCCTCGAAGAATAAATTCACGCTTTAGCAGCAAAACTCGGTAACATATGTTTCTGCTGGTTTCCTTACGCCATGTTGGTGCTCATCCGGGTGGGCACCAGCATGACGTCTCCATACAAATCTCTATTAATTTTGTGAAAACATTTCTTCGGATATCTCGTATACGAAATATTCCTCTGACCTGAATCTTGGCGATAGTCTTTGCATATTTACCTCCTTTCATTTTCCAGATTCTGGACTTTATCTATTAAACAGTTTTAATTTTTATTTTGACTTATTTTGAATGGCGTGACACTGGAAACCAGCAATACGAGGATGTGCTGCTGGACAGGGTATGGTTTTCATCCTCTCTGTCCTCTACATTGTATATAATTTAGCTTAAAATTGAAGGCAAGACTGATCAGACAGATAAGGTTTGCAAGTTTATTTGCCCAATATTTTGAGTAGACAAAACTAGTCTTGATCGGCGGCTAGAAAAGCTAGACCCTGATGAAGATTATAGTTTTGTCTAGTCGAAATATTAGGCAAATAAATGTGTTAACCCTAGCTTTCGGATCAGTCTTGCCTTCAATTTTAAGTGTTATTTTACATTGCTGATCCGTATCTACGACAAGATCCGGCTGTCCCTCGCTGCTGTTTGTCCAAGTGGTCCTTGCAAGAATTGTTCACCATATAATTTTGCCCGAGTCTGTCCTAAACAGGGTATACTATTTCGCGCAAGTCTTTCCTAAACACAGTACATGTCCTTTGTCCTAAACAGGGCAAGTACAGCGGCTCTCCTCTACGCAAATAATGATAGAATATCACCCCCCCTCCCTCCCCTCCCGGGGAGAAGTGTTAAATGTCAGCTGGTTAAAAGCCGAAATTATAATTCAAGTTTTTCTTTCTTGTTTATTATTGTTTTCTAGCGTCTGTGAATACTTACAGTGCCACTTCCAAGTCGTTTATTTTCTCCCTGGTGGACAAGGAAGGACTTGCACCATTTAAGAGCATGGTAAAACAAGCCGATTCATCACATGCAATTTTCCGTTATTCAAGTTACGGTCCAACATTTGGTTGTGGGCATGACATATACATTGCTGATAATGCCAATCAGAATACTTATTCCTTTACTAAGTTTGGCACTGCTTACTCTCCTCCAAGTGGAGTTTCAGACCTTTATACAATCCTGGCTGGAGCCTTGTACTTCTCACCTGACGAAGTTGAGGTATTTTATCTCGCTTGAGTCCTTTAACCCCCTTGATTTCCACGCGCTGAAACCTTTTGAAATCAGAGAAATATGTTTCCTCCTGCCCAAAAAAGGAATTTAAGACGTATTGCAAAGTAGCAAGCATCAGAATGACTAGACTGTTTGAATACTGTAAAGTAGGGATCGACCTTAAGATACGTGGAAGGCAAAAACGTCGCTTAAAAACTGAACTCGCTTTCTTTCAATGTTCACCAACTCTGTCAAATGTAGGCAATCCCTCCTTGAGATGAATTTCTAAACATTATGCCCAAGCTCAGAAAAAGAAAGCAAATTTGTTCGTTGCTTGTTTACGTCCTCCATTAAAACGTGAAACTAGCTAGGCATTTTTCACATCGTTGTCATGTACTGTCATGTAGTGATGGGAAAGAAACGTGCAAAAAAGCGTGATGCACACGCAGGGAACGTGTAAAGATAGAGTTTTGCTAAGGCTGCGTTCTCATTAGCCTCCCACGCAGGCGTTTTTAGGGGAGCTCGTATTTCTTCCCTCCCCACAACACAGGGAGGGAAGAAATACGAGCTCCCCTAAAAACGCCTGCGTGGGAGGCTACGTTCTCATGACACGGGACCAATTTTCGAACGGATGAAAATTTGTGCGTTTGGTGTTCTGTTCGTTTCACACGGATCTAACCCTCGAAGATCTTAACCGTACGAAAATTTAGACGCTTAGCTGTTCAAAGCCTCCGTGTGAACAGAGCGAAAATATTCGGTAAAATTTTTTAGCAGGTCAAAAATTGGTAAACCTATAAATTCACTCTTGTTTTTTACGTTTTTGCCGCCATCGCTGTCCTTGTATCTTTAGGTCGTTAATCTGAACGGTATGCAACGGTCTGCGACACGATCGGAACTCTGTCTGTGTCTAACGTTTTCAGACGTCCATGGACATCAAAGGCAGATATTTGAACTGTTAGCGATTGTAGACTCTCCAGCTTTATTTGAATCGTTTCGGTGCAAAAATGGTGCCAAACACAGGCCTGTGGACGACGCGACTAGACCTGTCTCCGATCCGTGTTCCAGATCAATTATTTACCGTGTCATTTAAGTTTTGCCCACACGTTTTTGGATATTTCCTCTTTATTTTGCGTTTGCACTTAGCTTCAGTTTGAATCATTTTCGCCCGCCTAGATGAAAACGCTAAAACGATGGAAATATAATCATCTGATAACATCCCTATAGCATGATAACATAGCATGCGTAATGCTAGTAGTACAGTGTTTATGATGTTTTTATATTATCGTAACAATTTTTTCGTCCGTCCACACGTAAACAAGAAGACGGCGTTTTCCAAAATCTCCACTCTGGACATTTGCTCTGGAGACCGTTTCTAAAAGCCTGCAGCTTTTTGGTGGCTTTAAAACCCGTTTTCGTGTGGACGCAAGGCCAAAACGGAGAAAAGTACCTACACTGCACATTTCAACTTGTGAGATAGGGACAATCGGGAGCCATTGCAACATAAACTGAGTTATTCATCGTAATGATCAAGCATTTAATCCTATATAAAGATTAATTCACAAGTTAAAACAGTAAGAGGTGCTTTGCTAATACTGGTATGAGTTCAAATTGCATTTGCATTAAGCTCACACAGGTATTCAGGTATTTCATTTATAGGGATGCTTCAAGCTTTAAGATTTTGCATGCGTCACATGTGACTCCAACCTAAAAATACTAAGACTTGTGGTGCCTAATCTCGAGCCCAGATTTCACACCTGTCTTGGCCGTGGGAGATCTGGCTACGAAATGCAGTCCGGTAATGTAAGTGAGGGTCATATTTGCAGGTGTGAAAGTGTGACCTAAAGTTTAGTCAGGCTAGTCCCTAGGCGTTCCCTCTTGCTCTGTAGTCGTCGCAAGATCAATTCTGGGAACGGGGTGCGCGCGTCCCTCCCCTCTCGGTTGTTTCACAGCTCACAGCAGAGTCCAGGTTTGATTGAGCCAGGAACACCTTAAGGCTTAAAGGCTATGTTCACAATATACCGGATAGCTTTTGCGCTGGAAAGAAAACCATACCGGATAGGGCCTCTGTTCACCAGTGATTTTAGGGCGATTTCTATAGCGGAGCGAAGCTGCGCTTTCCCGATCTCTAAAGTGGAGAGTCACATAATGGATTTGTGTTCTCACTATACCCAGCTTTTCATATGGGCACCAAAGAAACACTATCCGCTTTAGTGTGAACATAGCCTTTGCTAAAGTCCTATAACACAAGCTCTAACCCTAATTATCAGTAAAACGTTCAGTCGCGCAGCAGTAACTTCAGTTTTACCCATCGGGAAAAAATAAAGGAACTTACGCCTTTGCGAAATGTTCTAGTGCCAGTAATGATCAATATATAAATGCCTGTAACAAATTTTAGTAAGTTCGACAATGTTTTGCTAATTATTAGTCGTCGTTGTATTTAACTGAGATTTATTAACTTGTTTGTTGCATTGTAAGCTCAAGTACAAGACGTTGTTTTTATAGCAGAGAGCAACTTTTCTTAGTCCCAAAAAATACATATATGGATCACAGATCGAGTAAAGTCTTATGAGGAAATAAGTTAAGCAGGATCATCTATCCGCGAAGAAAAAGCTTAATATTGTATGTAAACAATAAAATGGAAAGTGGCTAAATGTAAAATTCAGTATACCTACCAATAACTGAGAAACTAAAATAGTAAGAGAGTGTATAGAGTGTATTCGGCATACCAACCTTATTTCAAAAGATGAAATTATCATCCGGAAAAATTTCTAAAGACGAATCCCAGGACCAATTAGAGAAAAAATAACAAACAAAAAGAAAAACACAAAAACAAAGGATGGCTTTGTACGTCGACTCTTCGCAACTTATAATTTCGATGCTTTATTCGCCATAACCTTAATCCCCTTTGAATTTATACATGTGAGACTTTTTACTTTATCAAATATATACACGGGACGGATTTAATTTCAATACATGAGATTTGTGTGACGATTACACTCTTCAAGGTACATTTTATTACCTGACTTGGAGAGATCGATATCGGTGAAATCATGTGCAAGTTTTCACCTGTCAGGTCACCAATGTTCCTTGTATGACATAATTCATATAAAGTGATTAAAAGCTCTTGGACTCAACACTTGCACAAGATCGAGAAAGCCATTCTAATGCATCTCAGCTTTCAGAACTGTCAAACGAGAACAAATAAAAATAAAAGAATGAGATGAGTTAAACTCTCACGGTATTTGGCTTGTCTACTCCCTGTTTGGCGTCTTCCATAACTTCCTTAAGCGTTTTTCACGCGAGCGATGGCCAGCGCGAAGCGAGCGAGGAGCGGCAGACAACCGCGCTCGAGAGAGAAATTAACACAAAAAAAAGGGTGTCGATAAAACCAGGAACATGGAACATTCCGGAACATGAAAAAATAAAAATAATTTTCATTAAAAAAAAAAAATAATAAAATAATAGTAATAATAAAAAAGAAAAATAATGAAATAATATGGAAAAAGAAACTGGTATCCTCTCTGAGTGTGGGAAAACAATATTTTGTCGCAACAAATTAAAATTTGTTGGGCGAGTGAGGGTTCATGCAAATGACAGTAATGAGTGAAGGCTTTCTTCTAAATTCAAAATATATTAAAATGGGTCGCGAGGAGCGGGGTTTTCAAGCTTTCCTCACACAGCCACCTCTTGTAATGTTTGCCATAAGTTAATCATTTGGCGGTTAATCATTTACGGTTCTGCAATGGTCTGAAATGTCGGTGCAGTATGTCATGTCAAGCCAAGTCGGTAAGTAGCTCATTTCAAGGCGACTTATAGTTTCCTTATTGCTTACTTTGAGTGCTTTGCTTCACTTGATGTTAACATGAGTCAGCATGATATTTCAGACGTCTCCTCGAGTCGCAAGAGGAGTTTGCGGGAAGACAGCTAAAATTCAGGCTAACTGATAGCAGTTAGAAACTATCGCTGCGCTACCGCTACCACTGCAAATGCAACGTGAATCTTTAATTTAGTTTTCCAAGTCCAAAGCGACGAGCCCCTAAGCTCTTCTTACGGTCGCAAAGCCGTAAATGGATAACCGTTAAACCGCATGGCAAACATTTACAAGAGGTGGCTGTGTGAGGAAAGCTTAAAAACCCTCTCCTCGCGACCCATTTTAATATATTTTGAATTTAGAAGCAAGCCTTCACTCATTACTGTCATTTGAATGGACCCTCACTCGCCCAAAAAATTCATTACGACAAAATATTGTTTTTTCATACTCGGAAATGATACCAGTTTCTTTTTCTTTCTTTCATTGTTTGTTTCTTTATTTTTCGTTTGTATGTTATGTTATGTTATTTATTTTGTTATTAAAAATTTTTGCAAAAATTGTTTTCTATTATTCTTTTTATTTATTATTATTATTATTATTATTATTATTATTATTATTATTATTATTTGATTAATTAATTAATTATTTTTTCATGTTCCGGGATGTTCCGGGATGTTCCATGTTCCAGGTTTTATCGACGCCCGTAAAAAAAGTCCTCGCCTTCCCTAATCGCGCGACTGCGTGTCTAGCGCTCCAACTTCGCTTTGTGTTTCTTGCTTCCAAAAAAGGCGAAAAATAACGGCCGTTCTACAGCCTAAGCTATAACAGGCCACTAACGAATTTAGATGAGTTGTAAGATCGTTTTGCCTATTATATTATCAGTCTTCGTTCAGGTCTTAGCTGAGATTTATTAACTTGTTTGTTGTAAAGAAAAGTACAAGGAGCTTTAAATAGCGTGAGCCTTTATAACTTTCACATTTAGTACAAAAAATGTATTTCAGAGTGATCAAGTCTAATGAAAAAATAGAGTCAATAGGATCATCGATCCAAGACCAGCACGGGACGAGAAAACGGATTTACCGAACGTCAAAGGTGAAGTCAAACGGGCGATAAAGGCCGTTTTTGTCACGCCTTTAACCCCTACCTTTGACGCGCGTCAAAGTTATAGCGGAGCTCCTCGCGCGCGCGAAGCGCGCGCAGAGCGGAGCACCATGGG